CTAATAGAACCAATCGCCAATTTATTACTAAACAAACGAAGTATGAAAAATTATCCTAAATACGAGGTGTACCCCCCCCCCCCCCATTAAAACGGAGTCGCAGTGGCCCAGTGAGTAAAGTCCCGTGTTCGACCGCGGTGTTGGCCAAGAAAGTCCATCTTGATTTCCCAGTTTGGTTACCCCTTGTCAGTTTTGTCGGTCGGAGGGACTGGCAAGGGAAAACTTATATTCATTCGGATGAAGCGAAACGGTAGGACGTTAAACCCGATTTCATTTCATCTCATTTCTCCCTAACACACGAGGCACAAAGCAGCGGAAGGTAGCCTACAATGAACACAGCACGAAAATACATAATATGCATGAGGTATACTTCGTGATCGATAAAGTTGCAATAAAGCAAAAGTTGTCGGAGCACAAAGTAAACATGAGGCTTAACGCAAGACATTAAAGGGAGTTTTCCCTGCGATAATAATAATGATTACTATTTTTAGTTTCTACAGATATCATTTATTTTCCATTCAAAAAGTTCTCTATTTAATAGACACACACAGAAATCAATCAGACAGGGTTGAAAAAATACCTATTATGTGCGTCTTAAATTAAGATTTGTATTTGAGCGTCAGTTTTTTTATATGCCCACTTTGAAATGTGGCCATTATTTACTTCCCCACGTCCGCCCGTCCGTACTGGACACTCTAGAGGCTAAAGTTGAGTACTGTTGGAGTCATGACGGTCAATATCCTTTGAAAACGACCCAGAGGTATGTGTGTGTGTGTGGGGGGGGGGGCAACGTCAAGTTTGGAGTGTGGTATTACCTGAGAAGTTAAAGTCAGAAGTTATGAGACAATATTTCTGCCCTAGGTGCATATAGGATTTGAGTGAGGCCCAAATGTCGGCACTACATGTACACTGTAAACCAGGAGTCCACCTTTAAAACACCAAGTACGCCATTTTGGAACACACGTCTGACGCGTCTTCCGTCATTCTGAACACTATGTGTTTACTTTCAGAACATTATGTGTTCAGTTTTAAATATTTTCCCTCTGGATTATAGAACACTTGTTATGCGTAAAATGTGTTCTGATTTTATAACACAATACATCAACATTTCTCCCTGGATCTTTCAACACATCGAACGCGCAAAACGTGTTGTTTTTTTTAGAATACGCATATATGTAATACCCAAGTTGTGAACGTACTGTTACAATATTTGCATACGAAATTCTAACTCAACTGTCATTGTGGTGTAACGGTAAGTCGGTAATATAGTCCACAGTGAGTTGATTATGGGCTTGGCACGTAAATAAATGTCTAAATAAGCTAGAAAAGGGACATGCATGCAATAACTCTTTCATAATGCGTCTTTATCTTTAAAAAGGTGTACCCGTATACTAATAAAGTTTGTCAAGGTATCAGATGTGTTGCAATATACTGATTTTCTGGAGATCGTAGCCTTGTATTTCCTCAATAAACCTCTTGATTATTAAAATTACACTGTGAAATTATCGAAACGGTAAAAAAAAAAGAAGAAAACATGTCAATAGCTGGTGGTCAAATAGTGCGGAGAATAGAAGTCAGAAAATCTCATAATAGAACGTGTTATACGCAAATCCAAATTTCAATGCAGGAATCCGTAATTTCTAATTCATCGGAATAAATGAAGTCTAAAATCACCAAGCTTGAAATTATTTAGTGACAAAAGGTCGCCAATATGTAAGTGGTATTAAAGGTATGTCTTTTGCACGAGTCTTTTGATAAATTCTAATTGAATACAAAAAGAAAGGGGCATAGTTGGTTTCCATAGAAATACCAATGACAGTCTCTTGCTGAAACATTAATTTCTTCTCCAATTTCCAACATTATCACTGGAGTCAGATTGATTCTTCAAATATTTTGAGCCACGGTGGCTAAGTGGGTAAGACGCTGGCTCACTCCTGGAGGTCGCGTGTTCGGTCCCTGCATTGGCCGAGAAAGTTTATCGGGATTTTCCGACGTGGGTTTCCCTTGTCAGTGGTGCATATGCCCGTCTTCATTAGCCCAATATGAGCAGAACATAGGACGTTAAACCCCATTTAATATCATTTCATAACAAAATAATGTAAAATTTATCTTTCAAGTCTATTTTTTGCTGCAAAGACGTGATTAATTAAAATTCTATAAGCAACGACAGTATACTGACCAAAAATTTCGCGCTCGGTGAATCAAATAATGAACATAATGCGCCCTTTATCAAAACAAAACAATATTATTATTTCGGAATCATTTTAGCTTTAGTTTCCACTTCAAGTTTTTGAATTTCAGATCGTAAATATTTTCGAACGTATTTTGTGGAATTCTCTTTTGGTTCATAATATATTTTGACTTTTAAATCTTGTAAACGCGATACAGATTAAACTTCGTGGTGCTATTTTTAAAAACTACACGAATTCAATGTACATAAAAAATTAATAAGTAGGCAAAACAAGCGGTTGCTATGCTAGAAGCAGGGCCCACATTTTGCAAGCAATGGACAGAGAAGAAGCTAAAGAAAAGGAAAGGCGATTTTTCGGACAATGAAGAGCCATATGTAACAAAGTACTCTATAACTTTTAGCAAATTGAACTTGTTGACCTCCAGCTGTTTTGATAATATATACTCTTCAAAAAAATGCAGGGGATATTCAGAAACAATACAAAACTGCGGAAATGCACTGTTGTTTTTATTAGAGGTAACCAGTGTATGTTAATAACAGTTCATATCTGACGGTCCCATTTCACTCGCAAAAAGATACACCGTCAAAAGTGTAAATGGACGTTTTTGATTTTTTGTCTTAATAATGAGTAATTGCTCCACCAATCCACAGACATTCAGCAATTCGTCGTGGCATGCTCCTAATCAATCGTCCAATCACGATTTGGTGCAATCTGACCCACTCCTCTTGCAGTGCCATGGCCAATTCTTGCAGTGTTGTCGATTGACGTTGACGAACACGTCTCCCGATCAAATTAAACGTAACACACTAAAGCAAAGATACGCTAAACAGTAAATCTTATGCAAGAACCGATAGGAATGCTAACATGGATAGATAAACCAGCACGTGGCAGTTTTCATCAACCTTTCCTTGAAGTGCCAAATTTGACAATGAACCCCTCCCACGTGTATGGCGCTATTGCGTGTCGCACATGCAGCTCAGTGGTTCTGTTGCCGTTGGGGTGATAAGTTCTTCCTGTTTTCCTTTTGCGTTCGTCACTTCCGATTGTTCAAGCATTGATTACGCATCTATCGTAGCAATGATCTCTGAGATAAAATAAAATTCAATCACATATTTAATATTGACTGGCACCAATATTGTCCTTTAACACGTGGCTCAATTTTATTTCAATAATTCGCTGCGCGTAGGGGTCTTTAGCAGTCATGAGAGGAAACCGGCCACGACCCTACTCCATGTCACGTACAACAGGCCCAGGGGAATCGAAACCACGCCAGTTGACTCAATGACAGGCCGTATGATACAGCGCGCGAATGCTAACCATTCGGCCATCCACCTCCACCCTCCGCGTACATTTTAAAACTGTGGACCGTGACGTTCATTATAAATATAACGTGTTCACATTTCAACGCGAGAACACATTCAGACGCACGTTGGTTTTACAGTGGTGCTTTACTTTTTGTTTATTAATTTTGTTCGATGATATTTCGATAAGTTGAGGAGGAAACTAGCCCCCCCCCCCCCGCGTGCACGTGAGACGGGTTGGTCCAGAAAAGGTGTACGGGCGTTAAACCCCATTTCATTTCTTCTGAGTGGGTAAAAGAATGCCAATTAATCGTCTGCGGGTATAGTTATTTACTTTGATGAGTTTTGAAAGGTTTACCTATTGATGTTGTTTTGATATTTTTTATCCGATCGTAATATCAAAGTGGCTTTTAATTGAATAAAATAGACATGGGATTAAAGTTTGGTACATTAATAGACCAGGTATTAGATATCATACGTGACGGATCAATAAACATCTTCACTTAATAATGATATTATAGTCATGACGTCAACCACGTGACACAAGTAATAGATATTAGAATCGTAGAACTAAGCTTTTAAAACCTCCAATGAACAAAAAAATCGATAAACGTTACAAGTATTTGCCCTTCTAGTTCCGTGCGACGGAATCTGTGTAATGCTGTAAATAAATTGATTGAATTTATCGGAGCTAGCCATATTGAGGCAACGATCTTTTGGCCAAATCAACTGATTTACACGCAGCTTATTGTCGTCGTGTGGAAATATAGATTTATTAAATAACTGTCTAATTTGATTCTTTGCCCATGTGTTGTAAAACTTAAATACATAATAGATTTTTATATCCTCTTTTTTTAAAAGGGACAAAATTATGGATAGTTGTAGATTAAAAAACGGATCTTGGATTATAGGCTATACTATTCGGGTTGCAATGGTCCGAATTGCATAATATGGGAAGAAAAAAAAGTTTTTAATATAATCATATTATACTAATTAGGCGAAATTAGAGTTGGTCTAAAGTCGGTAAGTTAAGCAGAATAACATGTTTTACTCAAGAACAATCGCTTTGAAACAGATAATCCAATACATTATTTTACAACTCGCCTATTAAGCCTACTACTAGGTCAAATATTAGTTTTAAACTCCTTTCAATGAAACCACTTCATAAACTACTGTTTACCATTACAAAGTACTACTTTTAACCATCATTATTTGTGCCCTCGCTGCGCTATAGCATATCGCTTATCAACATTGGCCAATCAAATCTGTTTTCCCAATGGAATGAGACAAATTGTTTCAACATGCTAATCACATTTCATAAAATAGTTTTCCTATTAAATCTTATTCAAAATAATTTGTCACATCTAATGCAAGTGATATGTAATCCGAAAAATCAATAACAGCCGTCATATAATATACAAAATGAATCATTTCTTCCCGCCAAGTTATCATTGTAGCGAAGCCTTGTGGTTATCAAAACAAATCCGAATCATGACGTAGTGTCAAATTCTCCCTACCTTCAAGCGATTCTCAACGTCTGTCGGCCATATTGGATTTTGTTCTATTCGCAATGTCGGTTGGGCTTAAAATATGATCAATTTTTACGAAGAAAATATGGTAAGTTATATAGATGTTTGTCTACTACACGGAAGATTGAACGACGGAGAAAAATGTTGTAATATTTTGGAAGCACGACTACCTCATGGAAATTAATTATTTGGAAACGGATTTTGGGAGGTCCGCGATGAAAGCAAAAAATGGTGAAATTTGCAACGGTTTGAAATGTGATTCACCTGCATCAGTTAGCGTAAATTCTGACACGGTGAATTATTTTAATGTATAGAGAATTTAGATAAAAGCAAAGTACAACTGATATTTGTATGCTGTAAGGGAAACAGATTGACGGTCAAGTAGCGCCCGCTGATCGCAAAAGACTGGCCGCCATTTTGACTTCTCGCTCAAACAGCAAAACAAAAAGTCGCCATTTTCTGTGACTGGTTAAGAAAACGGATAGCTGTTTATTTGTAATTTTAAAAATTTAACTTAATATCTACCGATTTATACCTCCAATAGCCCACTGAATGTCGGAGTTATAGAAATATTTTGTAAAATGTAACTGCGGTCTTTGTTCATTTTGCTCCTTTGTTTGGTTTGCGCACCATTCGTCAAAACAGTAACCCAAATGCCCCATTAATTCGCCTGTTAAAATTCAAATAATAGTGTTATGATCCGTGATCACCTCATTAATGTACGAATCTTTTTTTCAGATTCTGGGTGTAGTTTAATCTGTTGAGAAACGTTATCAAAATGGATGACATGGAGACTCTCCTCGACCATATTTACATTCATACATGTAAAATTTTAAAATAAAATTGTGCATATTTACAATGTTACTTTATTAAGTGCATTTACAGATTGTTTATACATAGTGCTATTATAAAATATAACTGTCACATAGGAACTGTCAACCATTTGGGATTTTTTTTAAGACATGTGACTGTAATGAATTGAACCATAATTTCATGGTATTTGAGTGTTTACATTTTGGTGAAATCATTATCAAATTTCTATGACAATGGAAAGTAATAGTGAGACACAGTGGTTATTAGAAGCCATTCGAAAAATAAAGCAACAAAAGCAGAGGCCAAATATTGACAGAATATGCAATGCTGTAAAGCATGGTCATCAAATTACAAGAGATGACATTGAAAAACACTTGGAAATAGCAGTGGAAAATGGAGCTATTCTTAAGGTGCATAATAAAGGAATGGTGTCCTACAAAGATCCATGCCGAGTTGCACAGCTGAGTACAAGGTTATTAAAAATCGGTAAAAAAACGGATTTGTCAAAAATTATTGCAAGATCTGTTCGAGAACTTGGGGAAGTCCATGGTTCTACACTGAGAGCAATCGCAAAGTATGTGCAGACGAGCTATAACATAGAATTACAAGGAGAAACTGAACTTACTGCTCAATTACAAACTTCATTGAAGAAAGCAATAGGTAATGGTCTTTTAATCAAAGAAGGCAGACATGTTAAACTTGGCAATGGAACATTCAGTGAAACGGACTCTAATAATAGCAGTTTACAGGCCAGTTTTGAAGAAGATCTGGAAAATGTAGAATTGATATTACCATTTGAAAGAAATAAAGTAAGTATAATCTAGCTATTACATGTATGTGGATTAAAAAAGAAATATGATTAAAACAAACATTTTGAAGAATAAATTTTTCTTGCTTCTAGATATAAGCTTATAGCCTACATGTATTATACTGTTTCAAATAATTGTATGTTCATATTTATATAATAAGCTGTCATGTTAAAGTATGTTCATTATTTCTTGCACAATATCTAAATTGTAAGCAATTTTAAGAATTACTAAGCAATCTGTTTAGATTTTTTGTTTGATTTAATATTTTGGACTGGTGCCAAGTTTAGTCACATGGTTTTGTTTACAAACATTGGAAGGAATTATTTCATAGCTAAGTTAGAGAAAAGTGTTTTTGAGCATGAATAGGGCAAGAATGGCTTTCTAGAATTAGTAAAGACCATTTCTAAATCGATAAAATCAAATTTTATTACAGTACGGGTACATATTTCCTTATTCCTGTGCATTTTTCCTCATTTTGGTGCCTTTTTCAGATGAATACAAATATTGGTAGCCTACAATAAGCATGTCCTAGAAAATGTCAATCACAAATGAGTACAATGTCAATACCCCATGTCATCACTTTTACGGAATCTTTTCGTATTTAATTTAAATGTCTTTGCCATTATTTTGATTAACTTTCATATTGCAAAACTGGCCAACATTAGCTTTTTTGTATACAACAATTTTCATCAAATACTAATAGGCTTTATTACGGTTTAAAGATACATTCCCGGGTACTAACTGGGTGATTTTGCTTTAAATCCTTCTCAAAACATTGCAATTGCCAGGGAATACCCTGGCTGTAAAAAAAATCGATCAAAAGAGGTCATGTTTGTGTCACATGACTTACCTCTCTCTAGGAGAAGAATTCATTGCATACACAAGATGATGTTGTCTTTAATCGCCGACTATTTATTACAAATATCGAAGCCCAATTAAATTCTCGGATTATCCACTGCCCACGTCTTTTTCCGTGATCTTTATCAACATGTATATCAAGCGCTCAATCTCCGCATGCAACCTTTGACGTCACGCGTGCAGACACTCCTAATCGTCAGGCTGTCGATTAGGCAAACCCTTACATTTTTGTCCTGTATGCGCTCCAAGAGTGTTTTTCAGGGAATCCAGTATTTTTCTATACCAAAATTGCCATACTTTTAGTTGAAATAACCACCCAATAAATACCTTTCTGGGAACCTACATGTATCTTTAAATGTTACATTTATTTTGTTATAATATTTATGTCTAGATATCCAATATAAACAAAACTAGGCTAGGCCAAATCAGTGTAAATGTCTATTTTCTTTTGTAATGAATCGACAGGTATATATTTAAGTATCCTGACTTACTGATCAAATTCTAATGTCACTGCCTCATTTACAATTTGTTAGCTGTATGAAAGCTTTTGCCATATTCTAAGCTTATTTTTTAAGTTTGGAAAACAAAACAAACTTTATCTTAGACTCTGACCTTAATTTAAAACAGTTGTATTAAAAAACAGTAATATGTTTTTTTTTTGCATTTCAAAATCTGACAAGCCTTAAAATACCAAACCAGATGCATTGTAATACACATGTATGTCAGACTATAAAATAACTGATCAGATCAAATTACTTACATCTTCATTTATATTCTGGTAATTTAACAATCAGTTTTGTGTTTTAGTATTTAATTTTTTGTTTTAAAGACTAAGATCAGCATTATCAGGCTTCCTAAGAAAATAAATGTAATTAATTTTTATAATGGGATTTATATTCCAAATAATCTTAGATTAGACTCATCTGATTATTGAAAATTAGAACACTCACCTATGTACATGTATTCGGTATTTTTCATGTACATGTGTACTTGTCTTTTATATACATGTAGGTGTTTTTCAACTCCAGAGCTTCTTGAAAACCACTAAAAACTTTGTACAACTTGTAAAATTAAAGTTAAAAGTATCAGCTCAGTGCTGATGGACTCAAATTTCATGTATGCAATTAAATTTGAGCATTACAAATGCAATTTGAACACAAATGGTGTACATGTAGGCTATTGGTTTTGTGTGCACTACAGTCTCATTTTAATAATTAGTAGTGTGAATGTGGCTCGGTATTTAATAGTATCCAAATCTCGTCAAATGAGAAATTATAATTTTTACTAGCCTGGGAGCAATTGTAAAGGGACAAAACTTCAACTTGCAATTATTTAATGTAAAAGATAACATTTTATTGCAGTACATGTAAATCTTTTATACTGGCATTCATTACATGTGTATTTCAGTATTTTAAAATTGATATAAACATGTTGATGAAATGAATTTGAATTAAACTGCAAATTACCTTATACTGACTGTAAACTTAATGATTTGAGTAAGTTTTAAACACAAACTTGTGATTGATTACATGTAAGTCTACTACAGTCTCTTTATATTTGACTCTCATTCTGGCATGTTGGCTCTTTAATCATTGTATTATGAAAAAAAAAACCCAACAAATCAATTTCTCTTCTTTTGTTTTTAAAATGGAATAACAAATTTTAGAATTTGAAGGCAAATAATCTTGAAATTTAAAGAGATACATGTACCAAACCATTTTGCTTTCGGTAATGTAGTTCAAGGTGTGAGGGAATGATAAATACAATAAAATGACAGACTATTGCCCGCAGAGAATAATTGAAATGGATGAAGTCACATGAAACAGAGATTGCCAACCGTGTCTAAATTGGTGCACAGCATGTGTCTATTGTAGTGTGATTATGTGGATGATGTTAGGCGATCAATTACCAGCTAACATTGATCAGAAGTTTAAGATGGCTTGTTAAGTGATTCATACACACCCAACAACTGTCTTACTTCTGTAGTCTTCAAGTGTATTTATTGATTGGTCACACAATATTATTTGTGTTATGATACATGTGATGATCAGGTTTCGCTTATTGATTGTAGTTGAATCCCATGTGTACCTGATCATTGGAAACTAAACACGACCAGATCAAATTCCCATCAGCCCTATGATATAAATATAAAGTTTAATTGTCTTCCCAACACATGCATAGGTTTTATTTTAATTAACATCCAACATTATTTTATTGGTTTGGATATTATTTATTTCAGAAAAGAGCCAAACCTCTACCTTTGTGCAGTTTTTGTCTGGGAACTGCACAGGCAAATAGAAATGATGAACATGAAGATTTAGTATCTTGTGCTGACTGTGGCAGTAGTGGTAAGAGTAATATTTCACAATTAATTTACTATGTTCTCTGTTTTATCTATGCAACATTTCCTTGTTTAGTAAGTTATGCACATATACAACCACAAGATGAAATTAAAATGGCCTTTACCATAGATAAAGATATTATTTGTTATAGTGAAGGTCTATATGTTTATTTAGTGGAGAGTGTTGTGAATGTAGAAGGAGGTTAATCAAACTGTAATGAGTGACACCAGATATTTGTTGACAGTTATAGCTCACTACAGCTCATGCTAGTTTTCATGCCAAAATTCTTAAAGCAGATCTTTTGAAAAATTGTTGACAAGCTAAAACTGGTTGTAAACACTTCTGTTTTTTTTTTAAAAAAAAAATTTCTGTTAAAAATATTGGCACTGTGTTAATGTTAGCAATGACACAATCATTTCTCAGTAAATACAATTCTTTTTGACGAATCCTGGGAAATTTTCGATTTTTAAAAAAGAAAAACAACCAGATGTATACTAGAATTGTACTCACTGTCAAATAATGTCTTTTACTTACATAAAGATACCATACATGATGGGTATTTACATACATACATGTACAGTACATGATGGGGTATTTCACATACACATGTATGATGGGAGGGTATTTTACATACATGTATTTTGTGTATACATGTACATTTGTATGCATGTTTTGTTTACAAGCAAAATTATTTCTATTTTCACAAAAAAGTACCAATAACGGAAAAGACATGGAATGAGCTTACCCAATGTGTGATATAATTTCAGCATAATTAGCCATCCAATAGAGATGAATAAAACCTTGTATTATCAGTTTATAAAAAATGAAATGAAATGAAATGAAATGTGGTTTAACGTCCTACTGTTCTGCTCCTATACTGGGCTAATGAAGATGGGCATACGCCTTACAGTGTGCTATGAGGGAAATTTTGCCCGGGCAGCGGCACTATTGCCTACTCTTATATCGAATTCCAACTGCCAAGGGATCTTTTACGTGCATTCCAATGTTTACACAGAACGTCCGAAAGACTAGACAGCTGTCCTTGTCAGGCCCTCCGTCCTTCATCACTGACAAGGGGAAACCACTTCTGAAAATCGGGATGAACTTTCTCGGCCAATGCAAATACATGTACCAATAAACTACATGTACATGTATAATCAAATATTGTTTCTGCCAAACTTTTCAGAACAATTTTTTTTTTCTGTTAATGCTTTGTTAGGGAGTTAATCATTATCCTGTCACTATTAAATCAAAGATGGGGGGGAAGTTTGACCCAGAGAACCAGGAAATAAGGTTATCAAAGCACTATGTGAATATTATGCCTGTCTATACAGTGTGAATGAGTGCAGTCAAAAGTACACTCTTTTCCATTTTAAATTAATGATAATCACAACGGAAAAGAATGCTGCTTGTATCGGGGATAGTCAAAACAAAGAGTATTTTGTTAAAATTACTGTTATGGTTTCCAATGGTATTCAAACATTTATTTAGAAAACTGGAGTCAAATTAATGATAACTGAAAGAAAGACATTCAGAATTTTTGTTTGTTAGATTTTTGTTATTTTTCAGTGTCCAACTTGGCTATTGCATATACTTCATGAGTTATAAATCTATAGAATACAGTGAAAATTTCATCAAAAATTCATAATTACTTTAATTTTATACGCCTACATTGAAATGTGGTCGTATATTGTCGTCGCCCCTGTCCGTCTGTCGGTCTGTCCGTCGATCCGGCATCCACAATTGCGTATGGATGCTCTAGAGGCTAAAGTAAATATCCGATTGACTTTAAATTTATACACAGTGTTTACGGTCATGAGACAAAGAAGCCTATTGATTTTCAGCAATTTCCGATAATTACTGCCAGAGTTATGGCCCTTGATCACTTCAAAAAATCTTGTGGACACTCTAGAGGCCAAAGTTAATATCCGATTGGTGTTAAATTTATACACAGTGTTTAAGGTCACGAGACGAAGAAACCTATTGATTTTCAGCTATTTCCAATAATTACTGCTAGAGTTATGTCCCTTGATCACTTCAAAATATCTTGTGGATGCTCTAGAGGCTAAAGTTAATATCCGATTGACTTTAAATTTATACACAGTGTTTAAGGTAATGAGACGAAGAAGCCGATTGATTTTCAGCAATTTCCGATAATTACTGCCAGAGTTATGGCCCTTGATCATTTCAAAAAATCTTGTGGAAAATAGAGGCTAAAATTAATATCCGATTGACTTTAAATTTATATGCAGTGTTTGACGTCATGCAGTGTTTGACGTCATGAGACGAAGAATCCTATTGATTTTCAAGGATTTCAGATAATTACTGCCAGAATTATGGTCTTGATCACTTCAAACAATCTTGTGGGCACTCTAGAGTCTTAAAGTTAATATCTGATTGACTTTAAATTTATACACAGTGTTTAAGGTCATGAGACGAAGAATCCTATTGATTTTCAGCGATTATGGCCCTTGATCATTTTGAAAAATCTTGTGGTGCTCTAAAGGCTAAAGTTATCATCTGATTGACATCAGATTGATACACAGAGTTTAAGGTCTTGAGACGAACAAGTACCTATATCGATTTTCAATGAATTTTGATAAACTTGAACAGCTAAATCCATGACATTAAATTTTCGTATACTAAACGTTACCATGGGACAGAACTTTATAAAAACCAAACAAATTCTAATGATTTTCTGATTTTAGTGTATTATAAATGTTTCATTACCGAAAATAGTAAAGATATGTGACAACTCTTGTTGACTGCCCAGATGATTTAGCTGCTGTGATCGTATGCTTCGTTGTCTGGTAACCTATCTTTGTTGTTACCGTTATTGGTATGTTTCTATGAAGATACCTGGTATAACTATAACTGGCGACAAATATACACAAATAATTGTCACTTGCTTAGTCCTTACATGTATGTAAATGTATCTGAAGGTTAATTAAGATTAAAAACATAGCATCTGTTTTTTTTGATTAAGGGGATCTCTCACTTATGTCAACCAATTATGTTTATACTCTAAATAAAAAAAATGAATACAATATTGAAATGGTTACCATGCATGAATACATTTAATTTATTTTTTTAAAACTTTTCAGGCCATCCTTCTTGTCTAAAATTCTCTCCTGAAGTTACAGCTATTGTTAGAAAATTACGATGGCAGTGTATTGAGTGTAAAAAATGCTCTTTATGTGGAAATTCCGGAGTTGAGGTAGGTTGTATTGATAGCTTTTATAGTTGTTATAAGATCTGTTACTTGTATGATTTACAAGTTGCATACATTATGGATGGTGTTTGCTTTTGTATATCAGAGAATCCAATATTGACACTAGCATTATAAAAATGATTACCTAATTTGATTAATAAATATTTAATGAATTTATTTTCAGACTAACATGCTGTTCTGTGATGAATGTGATCGTGGTTACCATATGGTCTGTTGTGATCCACCTCTCTCTAAACCACCCAAGGGTAAGATAACATGTACAAATAAGATACTTACATTGTTAAACTACATGTAGTTACAGGCATAAATTTTAAAAACTTGCATATTTCTCATATTCTCTTGGATTCAGTTTGTAAAAAAATCTTCAAATCCAAAGATGTTTTGATAAATATTAGATTTTTATTAGAATAATTAAAACTGATTTACGAAATATTTGCATATTGTTGTGTATATTTTGTCATCATTTTCCAGGATTCAGATACATGTATTATTGTCTGAATGAATCCTAGCACAGGAGATTTTTTGTAGCACCCGTAATTGGGAAACAATTGAAACCTTGTGCTTCTTTTTCAATAGGAAAATGGTCATGTAATTTGTGTGATCCAGATCGAGGGAATAAAACTGGTCGTCATTTTTTAGAAATGGCAATGAAATACACAGCCAAATGTCGTGCAATGGCCAATGATCAAAATAGTTCTAACTCTACCAAAAGCACACATAGCAAGTAAGTGTTATATATTTATATCATCAACGATATGTTTTAAATATAGCAGTAATTTTTTTACCATTTTTATAATAATTAAGTTATATTTTAATGATCATTAAATGATATTGTTTTTGTACATAAATAAACATAAATACTCATTGCACCATGTGAGTAATCTTCAAAATTCATTAACTTGATTGACATTGTTTTTGATAACCACACTAATATAAATTATACTACATGTATACTGGTATATAAACTTATGTCTCTTTTTCAGAAGTACAACTCCCAAAGGTGCAAAGGGAAGACCAGTCAGTACACCAGTTAGAATAGGAGGTACTCCTGGTAAAGTTGGAGGAACACCAGGTCGTGTTGGAAGACCTCCAAAAAATAAAAATAAAGAAATCAAAGTTGTGGTAAATGGACATAAAAGTTCTAAAAGTGATTCTGAATCGGATGAAGATACTGTACCATTCCACCCTCTGGAGGTGGACAGTGATAATGGTAGACCCAAAGGACTAGTAGATGGTCTATCTCGATTCTTCACTCCAACAAATAAACGCAAATCTCGCGTGTCACTCAGTGCCTTTGACACGTTTCCTGTGGTTGTGAAAAATGGGAAAAAACAGAAACCTAGCAAATCTCAACAGGCAGCCAGTAAGCTGTTGAAAAAGTCAAAACTGCTTCAAGTTCACAAACGAAGGAAGAGTTGCGGTGATTCACCAGGTACCAGCCAGTTAAAGGGTCTTTTTGATGGCCTTTCTCACCTTTTTACTGCGCAAGGGGAGAGGAAACGTAATTACTATGCGCAGTACTCTCCCCCGCGACAAACAAAACATAGTCTCTTTGTATCTACCAGTACCCCGGTAGTGGATAGTCCCTGTAGCAGTAATCTTGATGTCAATGATGTTTATAACTTTGATTGTTTAGAGAGCCCTGAACCATTACCAGTTTTCAGGGGGGTAGGGAGGGGCAGGGGATCTCACAAAAAGGACACTACTGACAGTTTTCCACTGTTTCCACCAATTGAGAAGCGTAAAGAGCAGCATGATCATAAGTTGATGGACTGGCCCACCAAGGGTCGAGGCAGGGGAACACCTAAGGGTAAGATATGAGGTTCAATCATGGATATGGGTACAGTAGCTAGCAGAACATCTGCTGTTAATCGACTAGAAATGTGTTGGTCTTAGACCACTTCCTTCTTTTTACTGACAGTGCTTATGTTGCTCCGCATCTCAGAAAATCATAAACTGCCACAAACCCTAATAATAATATAAAAACCAATTAGACTTTCTAAATTAAAACAAAATCATGCATGTTCCCTTGTTTATTAATTAAGCATTGTTATTTTGTTTCATTAATGTTTTAATGGTGTTACCTTTTGTTTTTTTCTGTATTGTGTGGCATTTTAATTTTTTTGGTGTTACGGGTAATATAAGCACACATGAACTCTTCAGATTTTATGTAAAGCATGTGAAATTTTGGTGAAGGGATTTTAATTGGCTGATGTGTAAATGTATTTTCACTTGATGTAAATTGCATGTCGTTTGGTTAACATTAATTTTGTTTTTGATGTTGTGTGTACTGTTTCTATGTCATTTAAAATCTTGTCAATTTATTTTAAATTTCATTTTTATTTGACTTATTATTTCCTTTTTAATTAAATATAATTTGATATTGATGTGTACATATTTATATATTTAGTTTTGAGTTTGTTTATTATGAATAGATATATGGCTTTTTGTGAGAAATGTGATATGATTTATTTTTGTAAAAGAAATTTGATTTTTGATGGCTTGCAACATATAGATTGTAGTTTTTTGATAGCATAGCTAATGATAATTTTGTTTTATTTCATAGTTGAATCAGAAATAGATCCTAGTGGTTTCTTTTCGCCTGGTGTCACAGAAACAGACATTGAAATGTTTAATAAAGCTCGTGAATTGGCACAAGAATCTTTAACTCAGGTATGGTTGACAGATATCTGGTAGTATTAAACCTATTGAGTTAAATGTGATCGCTGTATATGGATCAGCTTTTAATGAGGATCTAATGGTAGACTGTCTTCAGTGTCAGTAGTAATGAGAAATGGCTGTCATTATCAAGAGTATATCCACATAAAGTCAAAACATTTAATTAACTTCCTCTGAAATTAGGGGATGTTTAATTTTACCTATAAAAATGACCTATCAAGTAAGATAGTATTTGATTATCGTTTGTCGAACTATGATAGAATGATGAAGGTTTATGATATTGTTGTATTACTTACAAAATATCCACACATACAATGCATTCCTTGATTTGTTATTTAATTTCATTTAAACCATCATATTATTTTGAACTTGTAATAGATTCATCACCAAAATTAATCGTTATTACTATTTGGCTTCGTTTTAAAATTTAAACCTTATGTTTTCTGCTTTTTTCAGGCAGCCTCTACATCTGATGGCCCCCCACCAGAACCTCAGACTCGTTTCCCACCCTGTATAGAATTTGGTAAATATGACATACAAACGTGGTATTCATCTCCATATCCTCAAGAATATGCAGGGTAAGATTTTCTTTTAAAGGTGTCAAGTATACTATTCAAAAAAAGTAGGGGATATTTGATTTTGGGGGCATAATACTGAAATATGCAAATGACTACGAAAAAAGTCACAATAGAACCGAACAGAAGAAACATTTCCAGTTACATGTGACGCCCAAACGCACCAATAGCTACCGCATGGAATGCAGGTGATGCTTGGGATCATCATGGGGGTCCAACCCAAGATTTGCACGACTCTGACTTTGAATGTTAGTCATTGTGGCATTGAATTCCAGGGTGAAAACATCAGTTTAATTGTTTTAGTGACCAGAAAACAAATTTTGATATGCGTCGGCTTACCCAAAATGAAAGGTTACGTGCCCTTGGCATGCTACAGATCGGCACAACACAGGCGGTTGTGGCGCGGACGATGAATGTTTCTCAGTCTGTCATAAGCAGGCTATGGCCCAGATACCGTGATACACAATCTGTACAGGACAGACCACGCTCAGGTCAACCAAGGGCGACAACTCAAGCCCAGGATCGATTTATCCGTACCTTGGCCTTGAGAAATCGTGTCATCACAAATCAGATCAGCGCTCGTCTTCAAACAGACACTGGTGTGAGAGTGAGTGGCCAGACAATTCGGAATCGACTGCATAGGGGTCACCTTCGCGCCCGACGTCCTCGCGTGATCCCTTGTTTGAGAGATCATCACATTCAGGCAAGACGTCGTTGGTGTAGGGATCGTCAACACTGGGATAATCGACGCTGGAGCAATGTGATGTTTTCAGATGAGTCAAGGTTCACTGTTGATTTTTTGGACAGACGTAGGAGGGTGTGGCGTCGTCGAAACGAGCGCTTCCAAGACGTTAACGTCATCAGACATGATCGATTTGGGGGTGGTTCTGTTATGGTGTGGGGAGGCATCACTGTTGCTGGAAGAACGGCTTTACATGTTGTTGCAGGGCGTGTTACAGGCCAGTACTACCGGGACAACATCTTGGCAGTCCATGTTGTGCCATTCGCACGACGTCATGGCCGCCGTTTCATCTTCAAGGATGACAACGCAAGATGTCACAGGGCCAGGATCGCTACAGGTTACCTCCAACAACAGAACATCACCACATTACCTTGGCCAGCACTGAGTCCCGACCTCTCCCCCATCGAGCATGTCTGGGACATGCTTGGACAGAGGTTACGTCAAAGTCAACAACGTCCTGCCAATGTCCAAGAACTTGCTGCTGCGTTGCAACAGGAATGGGACAATCTGGACCAAAATGACCTTAGACGTCTCATTAGGAGTATACCACGTCGGATCAATGCTTGTTTGGCAAACAGAGGAGGATTTACCCGTTACTGACTTGGTTGTGATGCTGTGGTAACTTTGCTGTTTGACCCCGGGTATCATTTTACCCTTATAATGGTCAGTCTGTGCCTTACTTAGTCTAACGATCATTTGGAATAAATCGATGAATGTGAACTTCATTTCATTTTGTCATTTGTTTCTTCGTCAGTTTCATTAGGTGACTTTAATAACACTTAAAAATCAAATATCCCCTACTTTTTTTGAATAGTATATTATGAAAAAATTGCTTTCAAATATAAGAGTATTTCTTAATACCCTTTGTGAGTAAAAAGATTGGGTACCTAGTACATAGGAAATATAAAGTTCGCTACAAACCGGTCCACTGAGGAATTTTCCTTGGCCAATAAAATCACTGCGGAATCAAAATAAATGACATGATTGCAGAAAAACTGTAACACTTCACATTGTGTGTATGTGTGTTTAAATTTGATATACCATCTCCATGACAACACACAAACATCTGCGAATTATAGGCTATATAATATTCATAAACTGTTGCTTAGGTTTAACCCTCAATGTCTTTTGCATTGATGTTATTGGGATCTACAGTGAGATTTATAAAAAAAAAAATGTATTTAATTATAGGTTACCAAAGCTTTATATCTGTGAATATTGTTTAAAGTTTATGAAAAGTACCCGCTTACTCAAAAGACACATGGTGAGTATAATTTTTTTTATACGTCCACATTCATAATTTGGATGTATTATGCCGTCGCCCCTGTGTGTGTGTGTATGAGTGTACATGTGTGTGTGTCTCTGTGGGTTGCCTACAGGGCGCAATTCTTATTCGATTTTCTTCAAACTTTGTTTACTTATTCCTTATACCCTAAGGATGATCACTATTGTTTTTGGTGCATACCCGACCCCCAGGGGCAGAGCCACACCCATTTTTTGTATTTGTTTGTTTGTCGTCTACAGACCGCATTTCTTAACGTATCATATTGAAACTTTGCAAACTTATTCTTTGTACCCTAAGGAACATCCCTATCGTTTGGGGTGCATGCCTAACCCCAAGGGGCATAGCCACGCCCATTTTCTTTTTGTGTCTGTATGTCACTTACAGCCTGCAATGCTTAATCGATTGTCTTGAAAACTTTTTTATACTTATTCCTTATACCCTAAGGCTGACCTCAATTATTTTTGGTGCCTGCCAGACCCCATGGGACAGAGCCACGCCCAATGCTTGTGTGCCTTTTGTGTCGTCTACAGGCCGCAATTCTTAACAGATCCTTTTGAAACTTTGCATACCAATTCCTTATACCCTAAGGATGCCCCCTGTAATTTTTGGGTTTTTGCCCAACCCCCAGGGGCAGAGCCACACCCATTTTTTCTTTGTGTCTCTGTGAGTTGCCTACAGGCCACGATTCTTAATGGATTGTCTTTGAACTTCGGTTATGTATTCCTTATATCCTTAGGACGACAACTGCATGTCCCGACCCCCAGGGGCAGAGTCATGCCCAATTTTTGTGTTTATCGTTTATGGGCCAGAATTCTGAATGGATCAACTTTGTACTTGGTATTCCTTATAGCCTAAGGGCGTCAACTATTGATTTTGGTGAATGCCCCGACCCCCAGGGGCAGAGCCACGCCCAATTTTTGCCTTTAGCGCCCAAAGGCCACAATTCTGAATGGATTATCTTGGAACTTGGTATACTTATTTATTATACCCTAAGGACGGCAACTATTGATGTTGTCATTTCAATAACAGGGGGGTACCTATTTAAATTGTTTCCATATCCAACCTCCACGGGCAGAGTCACACCCATTTTTGTATATTGTCTACAGGCTGCAATTCTGAATGGACCATCTCGGAACTTTGCATATTTATTCCTGATACCGTAAAGACAGCAACTATTTATTTTGATGCTTACCCTGACCTCCTGGGGCAGTGTCAGACCCACTTTTTTGTTAATATTTTGTCTGTAAATTTGGCAAAACAACCCCAACGCCTATATTGCAGCTTTAGCGATGCTTTCATTTTGATCTTTGTGGAGGAAAAGGTTTTGTAATATAAATACGGAAATACATCTGAGGTGGATTTTTTTTTTTTAAAAAAAAGCTAATATTGATGGAAAATGAATATTATGCTGACATAACATTTTTTTTATCATTAAATGATATTGGTGAAAAGAAAATTTAATTTCCATAAAATGATATTACACAATCTGCATTAAAATTGAAAAAGTGTCATATATCACTCAGACCTAGTGTATAGAATAATTCATGAAACTATTTCTATTTTCAGTCGAAATGTCAATTAAATCACCCACCAGCCAATGAGATTTACCGTAATGGAGATTTATCAGTGTTTGAGGTGGATGGTAATGTCAGTAAAATATATTGTCAGAACTTATGCCTACTGGCCAAACTGTTTCTAGATCATAAAACACTGTATTATGATGTTGAACCATTCCTATTTTATGTACTTACACAGAATGATAGTGAAGGCTGTCATTTAGTTGGTTATTTCTCTAAGGTAAGATATACTTTTTTTGGTCATCTAAACTTTGTTAATTTATTACTTTGAAAATCACAAAAAGTTGAAAGAATCAATGTTGAGAATGAAACAATTCTACTGAATCAACTGATCGTTTCACGGTTACTGAGTTTTATTTAAATGAGATTTACCATTTTTTAAAGACATACTAACGCAGAGGTAAAGGTTTATCTTTTAGCAGAATGTTAATTATTATACATCAAAAATACAGCCCTAGCTCTTTAATAAATGGAGGGAGACAAGTAGACACTTGACATATAAAACTTTGGTTGATATATCGTGTGAACTTGGCCCTGTGAAGCATATAAATATGGGGTTAAAATGCATTAAAAATTGACATCATTTGCCAAAATTATGACTCTCCCAGATTTCACAGAGGAAGCTATCCAATCATTGTGACATGTCAGTGACTTATTTCTACATCATTTTGAGTGTTATAATTTTGGAATCCGACTAATGAGGATATAATGATTTTAATTTAGGAGAAACATTGTCAACAAAAATATAATGTATCATGTATATTATCAATGCCTCAACATCAAAGAAAAGGTTTTGGTAGATTCCTGATAGAATTTAGTAAGTAATGCTTTTATACACATGATTTTAACTCGAAATATAGGAGTAAATCCCAAAGATCTTGGTTCTTTTCGAAATTGGCATGTATGGGGTCTTAACTTTATGGATTATGGCCCCTGATTGTACGAAAAATCACGTTTTTAGCTTGTAGGTGCTCTATACGTCACAATTTTTATCTGATTTTGATGAAACTTAACATGTATGTTTATATCCCAAAGATTTCAGTTCCTTTCGATAATTCGCGCATATTGGACCATAACTTCCTGAATTATGACCCCTGATTTTATGAAAAATCTTGTTTTTAGATTGTGGACCCTCTAAAAGTCATAATTTTTATCTGATTTAAATAAACTGTTTAAATATATCACCGTTATACACTAATGATGGTTGAGTTCAAATCTTGTGAAAATCGGACAGAAACTGCTTGACAAAACAGCTGCTACTTGTATGCAAATAGTGTAAAAGTATGTAATACCAAGGTTGTGGACACTCTAGAAGTCACAGTTTTTATCCGATCTTAATGAAACTTAAAATATATGTTTATATCCAAAAGATCTCGGTTCCTTTCGATATTCATGCATATCGGACTGTAACTTTATTATGATCCCTGATTGCACAAAAAATCCTGTTTTTGTTTAGCTTGTTCTCTGTCCAGCTCTTGCAAAATACGGGAATATCTTGCCTGGCAACCACTGGTTTTAGAATGCCAAATAAAACCCCCACAACTGCTTGTAATTGTTGAGTTGTCTGCCCATTATGAAAACTTTCTGATCTGATTCTGAATGTAAATGCAATGATTTAGAAATACAGTGTCTATAAAGACGTTGGCTTCATATTTTTGAGTAAATTATCTAACATTTGTATTAAGCTGCAAGTTGTAATATAGATTATAAAGGCAACTTAAATGATGTAATATAGATTATAAAGGTAATTTAAATGATGCTGTTAATTTAATTTAATGATATTATAAATTGTTTTTAGGTTATTTATTATCACGTATAGAAGATCAACCAGGGTCACCGGAGAAACCTTTATCTGATTTAGGTAAAGTGTCTTATTTAGCATATTGGAAGAGTATTATTATGGAATATCTATCTAAATGTGATGAAAGCAAGTTAACTATTAATGGTAAGTAAACATTATAATGATATATAATAACTATTTGGTATTTAATACCAATAACATAAACACACTGAAGTATGCGGTACAAACTTACCTACCGGTATATACATTGTAATAGAGAAATCAAAGTAAAAATATATTGAAAAAAAAAACCCCACCAAGAATTACTCAGAGAATGCAGATTATTTACTATCTATACATGTCATGCAGTCAGTCTAAACAGTAGTTCTAATTATATATTAATTATTTTATATTATATTATATTTAGATTGATTGATATTATTATTTTGATTGATATTATATCTTGATTATTTAATTTATTTTATAGCAATAAGTCGGACAACAGGGATGTGTCCGTCAGATATATCTATAACATTACAGAATCTTAATTTAATGGCTAAAAAAGATGGAAAGTAAGTTTAATCTATATAACTACAACCCTATTTATCATACTGTGGATGATTATTTCTCTTTGTAAAAAAGAATAAACATTTCAGTATAATAAAACAGTATATAAACTGTCCAACAGAACAATTATGTGTTAATTTATCAAATGTTTATCTAAAATCCGTGACCAATTTTCGGGGAAGTTGTTTTGAACTTTTGAAGGTGGTTTCTATATGACAAAAACCTGTTGAGGCGATTAAGCTAGAGGGCCAAATTCAAAATGGCGGCCAGATTTCGCGGGGAAAATATAAAATTATTTAATATAGGCTTCTGAGGTGTCTATTTGTATGTTTTAAGGGCCTCTGAAATGAAATATCATAGTCAAAAATCCATCAGGCCACTAGTTTTGCCAATATGGCTGAACAATCCAAGATGGCCGCCATTTTAGATTTGGAATATTGTGATTGGAATCTACAGTGAAACATTTCTTTCGACAAAACAAGGATTTTTCTTTCTCTTCTGAAGAACGTAATCATGAATGTGCCAGGAAATATTGATAGATTCAAAGAATCACAGAAACATACCAGTGATGTATCACACGATAACAGGAATTTTGTATTTAGACCTGTATTTTGACATTTTAAATACTCGCCATCTCTCTCTCTCTCTCTCTCTCTCTCTCTCTCTTTTCAAGTTTTGAAAATATGAATGTGTCAGAACATTATTTGCATATTTGAAAAGAGCCATAAACATGCTTTCAGTGATATGTAACATATCTGGAATTTCGTATTAAGACCCGTATGTTTACTCAAAATACCCCACCCATGTCATTTAATAAAGTTTCTTACCACCCAACGTTTTTCAAGGTATGCAAATATGAATGTGCCAAAAAGTTATTTACATATTTGGAAAGGGCAATAAATGAACTTTTCAGTTATATTTAACATGATATTTGAAATTCGTATGAAGACCCGTATTTTAACATTGAATTTGGCATTTTGATTTTGTTATTAGCGGTATTCAGACTTTGTACATTGTACTTTTGCATATAATCAATCGACAAGACATTTTAGCAGAGCATTTAATATTGGCAGCGATACCCTTTCATAGACCTGTGACTTGGAAAGAAGGTTTTTTTTTTCCCCCACCCCCGGTTCCACGGCCCCTGATAGCCAAATATAAAATTATGGCAGCATTTTGAAAATATTGTTGAATTTTTTTAACATATTGTTTATGTCTTTGTAGGCTTGTTATTGCTAAAAATGATAAATTAATCAGTGAATATATGGAGAAATTAAAGACACAGAAACGACTTGAGATTGACCCAAAATGTCTGCGATGGACACCACTCATCTCCACACAACAACTGCAAGAGGAAGAGGAAAAGGTTGAAAATGAGGTTATTTAGCATGGCTGCTTTAGTTTTTTGCATTTTTACTTTTTTAGAATTGACATGTCATTCATTCATTTCAAGCATATTTTCTGTATGCATTATAAGTATTTTTTTTTTTAAATACCTGATGTCTCACTCTGTGTAACCTATATTCCCACACATCTGTCATTGGAATCACTTCATCTTCATTCATTCTAGAAGATTTTTTTTATTGTGGCACATCATGCTTTTTGCTTGATACATTTAATAGTGGTTGTCATCATGTTAGCGCTAGATTTATATATATTTATGGGTCTAAAGATAAGAGGATGGTGTTTTAGAATTTTATTTCCTAGATTGGTAAATGGCTAGATTTAGGGGTTTAGGGGTAGAAATTAAACAGTAAAAAGAATCATGAAAATGTTTTTAAACATGTTAATGGAAATGAAATGAAATGGGGTTTAACCTTTAATGTCTTAAAGTTCTGCTTCGACTGGGCTAATGAACACAGGCATACGTCATACAGTGTGTTATTAGGGAAATTTTGCCTGGAAAGCGGTGCTACGGCCAAGGGTTCTGCCAATGTGCATGCCAATGTGTACACAGAACCTTGGTTTTTCGTCTAATCCAAACTGACGAGGGGGAACCATGTCAGAAAGTCCTTTAGAACAAAAAGTTAATGAAGTGAAGAAGTGGTTTTCAAGCCATATCTATTCTGTTTTGTGTAATCAGGACTAAATATCTGCGTGACGAATGCAAAAAAAAAAGGACAATTCATTTTCAGTTGACAAAAATTCAAATATCCTTGGAAATTTCCCAAGCAGTGCCCTATCTTGTCTGGATAGCAATCTTGATACCTTGATTTCAAATCTTAATATTCTTTAAATATAATCTGTCTTTTAACTGAATTCTCTAAACAATCTATTGATCGTCATACATCTAATAAGATTTTGTTAACATTTATGTTTTCATTTAATTAGTCTGTGTATGCATGGTTATGTATCGTCATTTTCAAATCCAGAGTAAAATTGACGTTTATCATTGTGTCCCAAATATACTTCTTTGTGTGGATGATTTTGCTGAATTCATCTCTCCTGCTATTGAATGTAATCCCGAAGTGACATTGTTTGTGTCGAATGTACGTTAAACCCCATTTCTATCTCTTTGCTATTGGATGATTCTCTTTACTGTTGGCATGGTGGTGTACTAAAGGTGTATCACTTATTATGATATCTTAAAATAAATGTTTATTTTGTTCTTTAGCTGAAAAAGATGACAGAAGAAATAGATGGTATGACAGAAGATAGAAAAGATGGTATTACAGTTGCTAGTCCACAGAAAGTAGAAACTCCTCCTGTAAAGAAAAAGGTAGATTGACATCATTATTGATGGTATCAGTTCATGTGTTTACAATTTAATAACGTTTCATAGTCCTCTAATGTTTTGTTGTCTTTTTAAATAAATATTCTCCCAGTTTTATTCTCCACTCAGACTACCCACTCTAGTCTTGTAGTCTATGTAAGGCTTTACAGATGTGAAATGCACTAAGTAAATATTCTAGATCTACTGCCAAGCAGAACTTCAGATTTGAATTCAGTTGGATTGCATCAATAATCCCTAGAGTTATTGCCCTTGACTAAATGAATAGCCAACACCTCACCGATCAATCTTGGATTTGTTTTAATTATTGTATATGGGTTTTTTTTTATAGCCTGGTAGAAAACCTGGAAGAAAAAGACTGAACAGTACATTAAATACTTCTCAATCTTCAGAACCTGAAGCAAAGAGACCTCGTAGAACAGAAGATATAAGGAATAACCAATTCTATACAGGTACAGATATCTGCAATTACAGATATAAAATCAAATATAAAGAATATTTTACTTGAAATTTTATACCATCAGTCATCCATTGGGCCAAACCAATTTAGTTTTTTGGGGGACCTGATAATAGATAGCCACTTGAATCTCATGAACAATGTTTTGTTTCAAATTTCAAAACTTAATATTTTGGAACTGAAAGTTTTGTCCTCTCCCTGTTATTGATGAAGTATCCTATTTCCGATAAGTACTGTGAGAGTTATGGTCCTTGATCAATTTGAACAATCTTGTGTATGCTCTAGGAGCTAAATTTATCATCCAACCAAGTTTGGAATTTATGCAAAATGTTTAAGTTGGTGTGACGAAAAATTCCTAATGATTTTGAAACAACTAATAAAGTTACCATTTAATTTCTGGTACATGTGTTAGACAATAAATAATAGCAAGGTGAACTAGAGCAGACTTGAATTCTTTCTGTTAATTACTCTGTGGATTTTTACTTGATCAGGTTTTAGTGTCTTTAAGTGCCCCCTTTTACTTACAATATGCGACAACCTTTGTCAACTGCTCAAATGTTTTTTAAATTGAAAATAATTTATTTTTATGTTTTCATTACAGATAAACCTGTTACTAATGGTGTACATAAGTCTCCACCTAAACAGCTTGCTAAGAATAAAGCCAATAAAGTTGTCAAGGTCCCCGGTAGGAGAGGTCGACCTCCTAATAAAGATAAACTTCTACAATTGATGCACAAAGTTGAAGAGATATCAGAAGATGCTACACCACCAGCCAAAAAGAAGATGGGGTGGCCTAAAGGTTTAAAAAGAGGGCCACCACAGATCAGAGAGAAGAAACGAATAGGGCGTCCTCGAAAGGTGAGTCAGGTAAGCTTACATGATGTAGTGATACTATACTCAGACAGACTTCAATATAAGGCTGATGTTGACGTCCACAGACAACATGTACAATAGTTTTATAGCGTGACAATATACAGAGACTGCACTATAACCCTGTTGTTAGTCATTTAGACCTATACTGAAACACACCATCTTAAAGTGAGGTCTATATCTAAAAGTACCATATTGTTAAAGGAGCTAAGTCGCTAATATTTGGGACCTAGAAATTGACACAAATGGGTCGCAACACATACAATATGTAATATGAATGTATATAAATTGATTTACATTCAATCGTTTCTGTTTTTACTGTAATTTCTAATCAGTTAGGTTCGGCGAAATACGCCTGGCAACATATCTTATAAGTATGTGTTTAAGGATTAATTTGTTTTATTTTTCAGTGGAGAAAAAAACTGGCTAACGTGAAGAATACCAACAATAATCATAGTCAACAAAATGGTAAAATAAAAGAAAATGATAGAGATGTGGACAGTTCCGCAGCTGAGGAGAGTGAGAAAGAAAGTGAAAAAGAAAGTGAGATTGAGAACTCGAGTCAAAATGGTGATGAGGAAAATACTCAGTCAGAGACCACGGAAATTGCTGCTGAAAATGATGTGGATGATATGGAAACACAAAATGAGATGAGCATAACCCATGAACTAGATGATGGCGATACAGCTTGTGATGGGGATGATGAAAAACAATCTGATGATGAAGATAGTGACTCATCATCCTCTTCTTCGTCATCTTCATCATCATCCTCATCAGATGAAGAAGAAGAAGAGGAGGAAGAGGTTTATGAAGGAGTTGATCCAGACATCTCTGCAACATTAGATGAAGATACAAAAATATCGGATTCTGTTTGTAAATCTATTGAAACACCTATGGAAGAAGATGAAGAAATAAAAGATGTGATAGAACCACGTCATAATTATAAATCTGACATAGAACCACCTAAAATCAGTCACATTGATAGTCCGCATAGTATCGAACAAGTGAGAGAACCTATTTTAAGTGTCTCTTCCGGTGTACCTGAACCTAGTCCTGTTATCGAAGTTCCTGATTCTCCTGAAGAAAATAGCGAAGAACAGCCTGCTCCTTTAACACCTCAAGTGCCCACACCCGATTCAGTTCCTGCGCCTCTATCCCCTCCAGCACCTCTCTCGCCTTCTGCTCCTCTTTCACCACCAGCCCCACCCTCAGCGCCTTCACCAGAATCTAATAAAGCAGATGATGACGACAATGATGATGATGATGATGATGATATAGAGGAAGAAGAACAACCAGTAAATAGTCCCGCTTTAACATCCGCAAGTGAACCAGCTGTCTTGACGCCAGCTGCTCCAACTCCGTCAGCTCTAACTCCAGCTGAAGAATCGGTCGTGCATCATTCTCCCACTAAAACATCCCAAGATGCAAACTTAAGTAATGATGGGAGTTTTCATAATATGGGTAGTAATTCTACAACTCAAGAGAGTTTACCACCATCAAATAATTATGAACAGACATTTTCTAATGAAATTCAACAAAATATGGAACAAATGGATGAGAGTAGGACAAATAATTTAGCTGCAGAGCAAATGGCAACTCAGTCTGAGGCTATGGGTATGAACAATGTTGAGGCTTCGGCTGCACAATTACCTCAGCAAGCGCAACAGCATCAACAACAACCACCACCACCACCCCCACAACAGCAACAACAACCAAACATGACACCAACACGTACTCCAAGTTGTCCCCCTCCGTATAGTAACAATGTTAAAGCTGTGTTTTCACCTCAACCACCTACTCCTATAAACAATATGCCAAGTTCTAATGCGGGTATGACTAGTAATTATAATTCAGTGGAAATTGATGTTACACAGTTAGGTTTGGAATCTCCTACCTCTATAAGTAGTAGTGAAATGGCTAATAACTCTGTCGGTAGTGTAGAAAATGCTCCTGCCATGTCAATGAGCTATTCAGACTGTGCTCACATGCAACAAATACAGCACATGCAACAGTACTGCAATAATGCACCACGGGGTACACGTTTTATGGACACTGTGAATCCAATGGGGCAAGTGCCTATGCCAGTTAGTAGTACTTCCAACACTCACTTCCAACATATGCCAACCGTTTCCAATCCACAGAATTACGGATCTCCTGCCAATCATCGTTATAGTCCATCAATCTTGCCGCCCCCTCAAAGTACGCAAAGACTGATGCATAGTAATAATACACCCTGTGCAATGATTGGACGTCAGCAATCTCAAACCCCAACCTATACAACTAATATTGGTGGTAGTTTGGCCAAACTTCAACAAATGACAAATCATATAGACAATATCATGCCTGAAAATACCATGACACCACCTCCAAATCTAACCCCACCTCCTGTCAACATGACTCCACCACCAGGCATGATTCGTATGACAACACCACCCATTCCTAATCTCCAGCCAAACTTATCAGCATCATCGCTTATGGCACAACAGTGCAGTAAATATAACCGCCGTCAATCATCTTCTTCATCGTCAGTGCGTAAGAGTCCGAGTGTGACACCAAATGTGACTGTTAATCCGAATATGACATTTACACCTAATGTGACAATACAGCCAGGTTCTGGTATGTTACCTCGTTACAATAATATGTTTAATAGTTATCAGATGCAGAACCCTATGATTAATCCTGGTTATATAACCGCTAATCATGGCTTCCTTAATCAACTTAATCAGCAACAATTACCCATGCAGATGCAAATGATGAATATGAATATGAATATGCACATGCAGCCACAACGTTTTCAACAACAAATCCAACAGATGCAACATGGGCAACCCAATAATCCTATGTACGGTTATGGCTACGGTCTACCTATGAACGGAGTGATGCGTCGATAGAATTGTATGTTCGTGAATAGAAACTCATATCTTATAGTGCCCAAAAACTTGTGTTATATGAGTTGATCGTGTTCTTAAGGGTATCGCGTCACTCGTACTATATCTCCTGTGCTCAACTCGACTATATCAGTGTTTATGTGTTGAAGAATCTTTTTATTGTGCTGATATTAATTGTTTTGAGAGAGTATGAAATACAGACTATTAAAGTGTATATATAGATATATATATATAGATGATGATACCAGTACTGTTATGGTAATTTGTTATTTTGTGGTCATGTACTCAACCTTGTAAGAAAGCAGATCTTAATTATATTCATGATCATTTGTAAATATTGTTTTCATTTATATAAATATTCATTATCACCTTGGACAGAGGTTTTGTCCCTAACTTAAGCAGATCTTCATTTCTATATTGTATGTAATATTTTTTTTTCCTTTAAATCTTGGATGCCAAGGACCACAATTATCTCATTGAAGGGCGGAGTAAAAGTTATACTCCTGTTATATTATGCTGTGATTGTTGTGTTAGTATAACACTAGGAATTGTCAGGGGTGACAGTCACCTACCAGACTCCCTGTCAGTATTAATATTTTGCATTGTGTACATGATTTATTCTATGTGGACATCACGCAGCAAAATCCGTCAGATGTCTCAGGATAGCAAAAAACAAAATAAAAAATCGAAAATGATTATCCAATGAATTATATTGTTGTACAGTTTCTATTTCATCCTTCCAAATAGACATTTTATCAGATTACTATTATATCTGATATATATTATTTTTGTCTAGATTGTAAAGAAATTGTTTAAATATGTACATTGTGCAGTTTGAAAAAAATAAATTATTATAATTCAATAAGTTAAAAGCATTGTTAAGAAGTCTTTTGTTTATTCCATTGTGGAAGTATTATTCAGTTATAGGTCCATTAAATTTGACCTCTTCATGTCATATTTTTTTTTATACCCCCACATTTTCATGTGGGCGTATATTGTCTTCGCCTCTGTCCCGACATCCGTCTGTTCACAATTTGTTTGTGGACACTCTACAGGTCACAATTCTTATTCGATTTTCACGAAACTTGGAACATAGCTTTTATCTCCAAAAGACCTTGGTTCCTATGGATATTGGCTTGGATCAGATCGAAACGTTATGGATTATGGCCCCTGATTGTACGAAAAAATCACGTTTTTAGCTTATGGACACTCTAAGTCACAGTTTTCATCTGATTTTGATGAAACTTGAAATGCATGTTTATAACCCAAAGATCTTGGATCTTTTCGATATTTGCGCATACGAATCGTAACTTTCTGAATTATGGCCCCTGATTGTACGAAAAATCACGTTTTTAGCTTGTGGTCCCTCTAGAGGTCACAATTATTATCAGATTAAAAAAAATCGTTAGAAAATATCACTGTTACACCGTAATGTCGGTTATGTTAATTTCGTGAAAATCAAACCAAAACTGCCGGACAAAATAGCCAGCCCTCGTACGCAAATAGTGTAAAAAATATGGTATATCAAAGTTGTGGACCATCTAGAAGTCACAATTTTGATCCGATTTGGATGAAACTGGAAATAATGTTTATAAACCAAAGATCTTGGTTCCTTTCGATATTCGTTCATACCAGATTGTAACTTCCTGAATTATGGCCTTTGGTTGTACGAAAAATCACGTTTTTAGCTTGTGGTCCCGTTGGAGGTCACAATTTTTATCTGATTTTAAAAAACGGTTAAATATATCACCGTTACACCCGACTGTAGGTCGAATTTCATTTTTCGTGAAAATCGGACCAGAACTCCCTGACAAAATGGCCGCTTCTTTTACACAAATAGTGTAAAGGTATGTAATACCAAGGTTGTGGACCATCACAATTTTTATCAGATTTTGATGAAACTTGATATATATCTTTATATCCCAAATATCTCAGCCCATTTCAATACTCGCGCATTTCAGATCATATCTACCTGGATTATGGCCCCTGATATATAAATAATCACGCTTTTTTTAAGCTTGTTCTGTATCCATCTCTTGCAAAATGTGGTTGTATCTTGTCTGGCAACTGCTGGTTGTCCTTTAAATGCCATACAGTGAAAATATGCACTCTTAAAATAAAGATGTGACTGATTATAAATAGCAACAACTTAATATTATCTAGTAGAGGCTATTTTGTTTCATACATTCTGCAGAGAACTTCACTAAGAAGTCAGATTAAGTATTGTTCAATGGTCTAGAGCATTAAACGACTTAAAATACAGACACTCTGCACATGCTTTTACAGTGAAATACGTCACGCGAGTCCAATATTTTACTAGTATAAATAATGTACGATTGGCAACTGCCCGTACGAATATTTGAAATAATGGTACGCCAACATCAAAGGGTGACGTCACATCTGAATTTTAATCTGTCTGAATGTAGTGTACCAAACAGTGAACACTGATTTAAAGGGAAGCTGGAAGCTATCCATTCTGTACCCTGGACTAATTTAACCAGTTGCACATTACATTTTCTCAGTCTATCATAAAACTATTCGGAGCACATCTTGGGTGTATTCCACTTAAAATATATAGATTATACAACAATCAGCTTGCTTGAATTTCCTGTGAGACAGTGGTTTTGGCAAAGTTCGAATATAATTGCAACAGATGGTTATATACATCACATCAATTTAGGATGTCATTTGTTAAAGAAATAATAAATAATACAATGAATTGGAACTTTTATTTGAAATTGCATTTCTATTACTATATAATCACATACAAAAATAAATTAACCACCAACATTTTACAATAAAACATCAAATAATCAATTAGTAGTTCCTAAAATTGCCCACTTAAATTTCTATACATAATAATGGGATTACTGTGCTCCATATATATTAAGTAGCACTAACAATAACATTTATATACACTTTACCCTAATATATGCATCAAAACCTTGGTCTTTCATTTTTGAAAAAATATCAATTTGATCACAGAGAATAATTCAGAAGTGTGGGACTTATTGGTAACAGCTAAACTCGTGTTAAAATCAAAACATTCTAAATAATGTAAATTGTGACTTCCAATCAGTATGCTTTGTAATAGTTTAGGTTATGATTAACCTAGATGGAACAATTATTCAGAAACCATTTCTTACAAGATTAATTTTAAACAATTTCAAAGAAATGCCATTAATTCTGAATAATGTAAATATCATATTCAGAATTATTTTTGACTAACCTTACTATCGAAAGTTTAGTCTAATAAGAGTAAGGCATTGGTATGATTTATCTCAAAGTTTCCATACAATTACAATCTAATTTCAAAATGACCCTTGTAACTGTATAGATAAATTATGCCAAATTAAAAAAAAATCATTTTGTACTCACCAGAAAAAACGTGCAAAGAATCCAAAACCCTTGAGTAGCACTTTATAATATTCACAATTAATTTGAGTATTGCGATTCTACATATTACAATAAATTATTTTGTACACACCGGCATAGATCTCCACAGGGACAATTCATCTTTAAGTAGCACTTAATAATTATACAATTAACTTGAGTATTGTGTTTGAATTCCATTAAATATATATCACAATAAAATTATGCAAAGATTTCTAAAAATAGTGACACATACATAACTTTTAGTAAAAAAAATGCACTATTATCATATTTCAACAAAAACAATTACTGGCTATAAATTATGTCCTAATATTAAGAACGTATTTGATTCACTGCATTTAAAACCTCTGTTAAATTAGCATAGTCTCCAAACTCTTTCTCTCTGTGTTCAAATAATATTCCTTGCTTTCCTGGTCCAATTACAAAAACACCTTAAAAATTAGTAGAAAAAGTATGAGAAAATGTGTACATCTATCAAAATAACGAGGGAGACGACCATAAAAATACAAAATTATCTATTTATATATTTCTATGAGTAGCTTACTGCCACCATGAGATTACCCTTGTTGAACCCCTAGACAAGTGGATGTGTGTTGTATTAGCCACTAACAGTCCAACACTCATTTTTAAGGGGACAGTAGTGCAGCAAACAAATTAAAGGTCACAGAAAACATTGTGAACAGTTTCATCCACCACAACATTTATATACTGGGGAAAAGAGATACACGATGTACAGTGTCAATATGAATTAGCAAATACTCATTGAATAAACAAATATCACACCAGGGGTACCTGTATGTGTTTATTAGGTCGGAATGATTTAGCCAGTAAACATACATAATCACTGTTCAGTGAAGTGTAACAATTTCTAATAAGATAAAAAAAACCCACAAAAATAGAATAATTTTGTTAGTAGGTATATACCCATGGGAAACAACTACCACATATTTTATCATATAACATTAAAGGGGGCAAGTCTTTAACTCAATATCATCCACAGTCTTTGACATTGCAAACACCACTTATTGGTCAGTTTAAATCAACATTGATGTTCTTATCTTACTGTGAAAGGATGGGCTTCTGATATCCAATATTTAAGATGAAATGAAAATTTTAAAATTGGCACCCGAATTGTGTGCTAGAATGCTTTCGAGCTCCATTTGTAATGAAGTGACTCGAGGAACAAGGCTAAACATATCCCACAGGAGAATATACTACCGGTGTAGACTGGAATAACCAGACACCAAAGACTGCCATTCATCGAACAAAACTGATTACAAATTACAGTAAAAACAGAGAGAGAGAGAGAAATGGGGTTTAATGTCCACTCGACACAAACTAAGGTATTTCGGGACTAACATATGGTTTAATTTTATTTCAATAATTCGCATGCGCGTAGGGGTCTTTAGCAGTGAGAGGACCCGGATAAAACCCACGAGGTAGGACAGGCGACCCTACTCCTTGTCACGTACAACCGGGGATTTGAAACCACGCCAGTTGACTCAATGACAGGCTTTATGATACAGCGCACACAAGCTAACCATTCGGCCATCCAACCCCCCCAGTAAAAACAGAAACAATTGAATATAAATCAGTTTATATACATTCATATAACATTATGAAATAAATTGCGACCCATTTGTGTCCATTTCTAGTTGCCAAAGAATAGAGATTTAGCACTTTTAATACAGTGTAAAGACTATATGTTGTACATCTTGTGAACTGTTTGAGCTGACTCAAATTTCACATGAAATAAATAGAGATTAAACAACTAAAAGGGGTGATTTTCCATTTGATAAAAATGAAAATTCTGTATTAAGATAATTTTGGACATAAGCAAATATTTTTATTGGAAGGAAGATGCTGTCAATCATGTGAGCCGTGATGATGAGATGTCATCCTTTTATATCCTAAGAAATATAAAATTAAAAAAGTAAATATACTTACTTCCTAATATACTACCTTCCCCTTCCAGGTTGCCCTCAACCCCATTCCGCCAATTTGATATAAAATTTCTCCATACACTGATCCGTAAAAACCCTGTTACAAGCATTCTTCTCTCTACAGGACCATAAAATCTTCTCTACAATAGAAACAAATAATTTTGGAGGGGATTTTATCATTGATAAGGTCCAACAAAATTCTTATTTTGTCATCAAACATAAATTCTAATGACAAATTTGAGTAAAATAAGATGATTTAACTTTCCTACCTCTTTGTCTAAATAAACAGGACCTTTGAAGTATGGCTTGAATTCTGGAACACCCAGTGTTTCATGAACTACAGAATATAATTCAACACCAAGAGCATCAAGTTTAGGTTTTAATGATGATAGTCCAACTGCCTCCTAAAAAAAGCATCATAGAAAAAAATATTAAAATTCTATTATTTTCTGTCATAAACCCTTGGCTTAAACATAAGAAATGAAATGAAATGGGGTTTAATGTCCTACTCTTCTGCTCCAACAGGGCTAATGATGGAAATTTTTTCCTGGACAGCGGCACTACAGCCTTCTCTTATGTCAAATTCAAACTGCCAAGGGATCTTTTCCGTCCACGTTGGACCCTTCGTCCTGCATCACTGAGAAGGGGAACAACCCCGGAAAATCCTCAGGAACTTTCTTGGAAATCACCAGGAGCAAAACTCGACCTCCAGGCTAACGAGCCAGAATCTTACTCACTGAGCCACCATGGCTCCCTTGCAAATTAGACGATGACATTGTAAGTAGTAATTTACCTCAAAACAAGGTTGGTTTTGTTTTCACCATACTGATCTTACCTCTCGACATAAAGAACAACCTGGACGCCTGACAGCCATTATAACTGCACCTTTCTTCTCCCACAAATCTTTACCCTAAAATTAAATATCATTATAATACTAATGTATTATGAACAAAGATCGTTTTAAAATAAATTTTCTGTAGGCTTGTGTTCATCTCTGCGTGTACTGATAAACTTGTGAAAGGTGCACAAGGCCAAGTTATTATTTGTATAAAAAAGTAATAAAGGGTCGGAGAGCCCAAGTTTAGATTTGTCGTTGAATGTTCAATACTGTGTAACTCAACATGGCACCTGAAGTGTTTAACATATTTAGGTACGGGTCAGTACCCAACAGTTTAATCATATGATAGTCACGGTTTGGACCAAAATGCCTTGGAAATTGGGAGTGGGAGGTAACCTATGGCATATCTCGTGGTTGAGAGACTAAATGTTTTTTAGTCACAAGAAGAATATCTTCCGTCAGAGTTATTATATGTAAGCCACCTTCATTACTCACAATGCCTCCTAGGGGTATTCTATTTTCAATATGGTGGTTATGCAAATAAGCCATCTTGCCTCAGTTAATTAGGTAATACATTTGACCCCAATCCAATTAAAACCAGTACGTCATGTTAATTACATTTCATTCTATTTTTTTTTTATGTTACACTACATAAACATTTGACATCTAAGTTGGGATATATGATTGTTTGATATGTATATATCACTCTCTTAAAGGCAGAACACTGAGATAAGGCAAAGTTAGTTAGATATACAGAGAAGCATAAAAATCATTAAAAATAAATCATAAATCTACATTTTTACATACCAAGAATTGTTTTGGGTTGGATTCTATTGTCTGTAACTTGGCATCTGCTAAATATTTCAATGTTGCTTTTTGAGCTTCTGTCATTAAAGGATTATAAGATGGTGGTAAATTACACACAACAGCTATTCCTGCTACCAACACAGCAATTCCAGTCAATAGATTTGATATTCCCATTTTGCGTAGAAATCCTTGAAAATAAGAAATCTGTTTTGTTCTTTGTACACTTTAAATAACTTATATTAATTAATAAAAATTTAGATCTTTATTTAATATAGGCCTATAAACATATTCTAAAACCCATATTCAAACACTCAGTGTTTTTCCCATTATATTAATTAATTATCTATATAATCAATAAGCCACATTCCATATCTATTAGGTCATATCTACATAATTAGCTGCACATCTTTGATCTATACAGTATTCATATAGTAAAATAATAAATGTGTCTAGGTTATGAAATACATGTACCTTATTCAATCTTCTGTTTTTCTCTAGTATAGTAGAGTAAGTAGTAATGTAAGCTATCCACAAATATTCCCAAATGATATGGAATGTTATGATTAACCTATCCTAACTTTGGTACGAGTAAATCACTTAAATGTACTTACCGGTACGCTCTTGATTTGCTGACTCTTACTATGATAAACTTATAGAGTTATATAGGTAATTCATCAAGGTGTGATAAACTGTATAAAAATTAATAACGTATTACTGACTGGGTAATTATTGATATTGATAACATAAATCTACCATACAAATATCCTATAGTCGTATATCAATCATGTACTACATTGTTAACAGTTGTACCGTAACAAACTTGTTTACACGTTTTATAACTTGGAAAGGGCAAATAACTCCTGTAAAGAAACGGGTTTGCTTCCCCTTAATCATAAACTTTCTAGAATTTGAACACCACCCATTACAAGTTTCTGTCATATACCAATTAAAATATATCTATCATAACTGATCAGCATTGTAGAATGGCTTCATATTCACAGAGGGGTTTTAAGTCTAATGTGAGAGAAATAGGTTTCATATTGGCCCAACACAAACTTTCACAACTAAGAAATGGTATAGTTTTATTTCAGTAATTTCTTTGCGCATAATGTTCTTTAGAATTCGGAGAAAATTGGAGAAACCCACCTAGTCAGATAGTTGATCCACTTCATAAATCATGGGTTGAATCCACAAGACTTGTTATTAGATCTATGTTGCACTGTTATACCTAAGCCACCCAATCATTCATCTGTATGATTAGTCTGGACATGAAATGGGGTTTAATGTCCTACTTTTCTGCATAATGAAGACAGGCACACTACATGCAGTGTGCTATGAGGGAAATTTTGCCTGAAAAGTGTCGTTTCCAGCTGTTACGGGTTAATTTTCTGTACATCTAGGTACATGTGAGCTCAGTTATTCTCCCATCCTAATGACTAGTCACTATTCCTTGTCACGTCTTACATACTGCACCACTGACAAGATGAAACGACGCTGAAAGATTCTGAGGAATGTACTCGACCAAGAGATTAACCAGGAGTATGTGTTTGTTAAGGCAATGCATATTTCTTGTAGCAAGGGCAACACTAATTAATTTAGTTTTGACATCATAGAAGCATTCTTAGATGAAATTTCAAAGAAAAGAATTTGGTTAAATAAATAATAGTATCACTTTAATTGAAATAGCCTGGGAAAGAAATCTTCTCTTAAATATCTGTCTGTTCTTATGCAGTAGCAAATAAATGATGACTAAATGGGATCTAGTTATCAATAATTACAAAATATCAGTGAAGAAGTTTTTATATTTTAATGCAAATAAACATATATTTGATAATTATACACATGTATAATGAAACAAAATAATATATAGTATACAAATAGCTCAAAGATTTAGCACTTTTCTTGCCAATCTCGTATTTCCTTGTGGATAAATAGGAATTCTATCTTTTGATTTATATCCACTCTTCTCTATATGATAGACACAAAACATTTCAATTTTAATCAAGCAATAAGTTATAGTGTACTGAAGATTGTTAAGGAAAGGCCACACAATTTGACTTTGGAACACATATTAAAATCTTTCTATCTTATTGGGAAAAAACAATATAAAAACTTGGTAGCTCTCCCAAACTTTCAGCTATAAATTATCAAGCTTTGAAATTAGGAAGTAAACAAGCAACAGTAAGACTGATGTACCAAAAATGACACTCATTAATTACTTGCACATTTATCTTTTTACAAAACATCGAACAATCAGATTGTTTACCACCCTGCTTAATCTGAGTAGAAAATGTTCATTATCGAGGTTAATTAAGATATTGATATAATAACATTAGACACATTTCATCCTAAAGGCAGGGACAATAAAACTTGCAGAAATGGGGATATTTAAAAAGATTTTGAAGAATGAAATATCAAACTGCTTCGGCCTATTTATTCTGGAAAAGTAAACTAAATTCATTGGATGAAAAAACATTCACTAAGGATCCAAATATCTTCCATGCCTTAACATGTGTGTTTTGGAAATATCTTTTATATCTATTTGCTGTACATGAATAGCTAAGATATATCTAGGACAGTTGATTTTCCATGGCTTTACTCATCCATTCAGGAGCTGTTGTTGATATTTTTTCCATAATATTATTAACTTGAAAACATAAACTTTGAATCTGTTTATCCCATGTTGGTAATGTTTCTGGGGCTGGAAAAAAGAAGACATCTTTATCAATAATCAAAACATAAGATGTTTTACAGAAAGGCATGCTTCACAAATGCAACACAATTTAGAGATCTATTGGACTATGTTTCAACTTCAAACCTATGATAGATGATATGACAGGTTTTCAAAAATTGCATTAGCTATAAACACTTGACTAACACTACTTTATAATTCTAAATGACTTGAGTTTCTTTAAAGGACAAATGTGGACACAAATGCATTTACATGATGGACTACATCTTCGATAATAAATTCCAACTCTTTAAAAATCTTACAGTTATCACTATAAAAGTTAAAAACTAAATAATGTAAAGGGAATATACTGAAAATGTCAGTCAAATTACTCCATTCTGAACCAAGATATTAGCGATTGAATTTTAGGCCTGGCCTCGATCATCATTAATAAAGTTGGTATTATTAGAAAACATAGTCTCGATTATCCATTTTCGGATTTAATCATCAATGTGCGTTAAGCAGCAGATTGGATTCAAATCCAAGGAAAACCTAACACATACGATGGCATCGAGAGTTGATTACGGTCTTTTCATTTTAATAATAAAATGTCTAATTAATAGTTATATAACATTTCAGGCCGAAAGAAAGACCTGCAATAGGGAGATTTAGCTCTTGAATAATGTGTATTTAAATTCTAGATTTTAGTTCATTAATATCAAAATAAATTTCTATTTCAAGTTATCTCTGGATCAGATTAAATTGATTGTTCTTAATAGATAAAATGTACTGTTTGTACATTTCTCAAAACTTACATTCAAAATGAACAACAGAATCAATCTGATCAATATAACCATTCATTCGTCCTTCTGTTATCATCTGTGAAGCTATCTTCTCTGCCTATAAAATGGAAATTTTGATTTGCAGCATTAAGCAACAGACATGCATATATTTAATTAAATATCAGAACAAAGAAAAGTTATACTTTTAACTGAAGACTATATTATACAACACAATGGTATCAAAAATCTCTTCAAATCCATTGACTTAAAAAAAAGAAATTTCTCTGTTATCAAGTACATGTACTGTTGAAGTATTGTTAGTCCTGTTTAACTTGTCTTTTGCATCTTAAACATATAGTTCAGTATAAATCTTTATTTGCTTCTATAAACCTTGTCATGCGACAGTTGTTGTAATGTAACGAATACTATGTAGTCTCTTACTGTATATAAACTTTAATAATAAATCTTATAATTGGGTAGCTAATTATCTCGTTATATTAGATTTATTTACATCCATTATTTCATGTCAATTCTATATACTGATTTCTGATGGACATTATGAGCAAAGAATTTAACCAATTGACTTGTATTAAGATTGTGTAATATCAAAAAGATTAGATACTTTTGATGATGCAATTGACATGAATGCAGATTGTGTAATAATAAAAACATTAGATACCTTTGATGGTGCAATTTCTAACAATGATCCTAATTCATCAAATGATATATTGATATAGAGTTTACTAGCTGACAGTAAATTATGTTCAATCACAGCCCTGTCCAAAATTGTTGATCCTGAAAAATAAAAGCACACTGTACTATAATGTTAAAATTTAGATGCACAATTTTCATATCCTTTCTGAGTAGATAAATTTGAGCATTCATTTTTAAAAGACAATATAAGTTTATTCATTATTTTTTATGAAAACAAGATCAACTGCCCCACATTCAAGTCCAACATGTAGAATTTTAATATATAAATATTATTATAATCGACGTGTACCATCTGCTGTCACTGCTTTCTGGTGATCTTGTAAAAGTGCAGAAAATTCTTTTAAATCATTTCCTCTAATAATTCTATCTAAATACCTGCAAAAATAGAATGATCACCTTGTTAATCAAAAATATGAAAATTCCAATTATCAATGTAACAGCAAACAAAAAAAAAAAATATTCTGGTTCTCAGACAATCCATAAAAAAAAATCGGATGCAAGAGGGAGGTTTTAATTTTTGTTTTTTTATTTTGTCATAGGATTAAGTCACTACGGGGCTAAATGAATTCTCACAACACATTTCAAGGCAGTACATTTATTTCATCATGTCATTCAAAGGAATGTTATGATTATCCAGTATCATTATTTTATGTTTGTCAGTAACATTTATCAGGGTCAAGCAGTCCTTTTTAAGTGATGTGTGAGCATCAGAGAACCAGAGAACGAGGACTACAGTCAAAGAGATTGTGAAAGGGGTTTGTTTTTGAACAGAACATGATCCTAATTTGAAATATTTACCAACGAATGTTACCTGGGGAAGCAAATTGTTCTATCTTGTGAGGTGAGGATATACTGGCTGTATTAAATATTATGAAAACCAATGAATTCCAAACTAGTGTATGCAGAACAATGTTGGATTAGACACTATTACCACATAGAAAGAAAGTAGTGAAATACTTTAACTTACATTTTTTCAAGTATATTGAATGCTTGTAACTGTTGACATCTTTCATCTTTAAATAATGTAGCCAGCATTCTTGATCTTTGTTGACCTGTAATATAAATAGTTATATGAATATCAATTATAAAATAGGAACATGACTGTTTTGGCAGGATACGGTATAATTTATACTGATTTTAAATATTGGATTAAGATATGATTCTATGTTCATAAACCTAGAGATAAATGAGTCAATCACAATTCAGATTTACTTGTGTGTGTATGTGCTAATGAAGACTGACATCTGCCTTGCTGTGTGCTATGACGGAAATTTTGCCCGACAGTGGCACTATGGCCTACTCTTATTTCGAATTATTTTTATCAAAGTGTCCTTTTACATGCACACAAAACATGTACATAGGACCTCAGTTTTTCATACCATCTGAATGACTAGATGCTGTTCCTTACAAGCTCCTCTGTCATGCAAGAGAAAATCAGTAAGCCCACCCCCTTTAGTAAATAGAAGGTTAACCAGCATTTTAATTACTTTAATTTAACGAAAGAAGGGTAAAACGGTTATCGAGTTGTTTTTCAGTCATTAACTGGCAAGTGCATGAAACAAAAAGGCCTAAACTCAATAACAAGTAATATGAACTTTAGAAATAAGTTAGGATTGATGGATTTGAATAACATCTGATCAATTAATAAAATGCCATTTAAACAACTTAGCTTGGGACAACTTAAACCATTCACGAAAATCAACATATGACCATAATAGCCCCAGTAATTGTAATCCATTGCACTGTGTCCTGTGTATATCCTTAACTAATCTATTATTGAATACATGATTGCCCTGGATTATTTCTGAGTACTTAAGAAAATCAAAAAAGGCATTTCAAACAATGTGCTTATAAAGGACATCTAGTTTTAAAATCATAGTTTTTAAAGTCATCATATATTCAATCAAATACTGTTTTATTAATACTAACCTGCAGAAGCTAATACAGTACACATGAGAGCATTTACTAAAGCTGTCATTCTTTCTTCATCAGCTACAATAGCTTTATATGATAATTCATTGTAACGTTGGGCAGCTTCTATAAACTTGCGTCTATAGTCCAATACTCGAGCATAACAAGCCTATTATAGACAGAAATATACATAATCAAAAATTATATTTTATTCTTGTCCTCAGTTTCCATGGAAGTTTTAAGTTTACATGACGTTTTAGTTTATGGCAAGTCATGTAAAAGAGTGAACTAAAATCATTTACAAAGTGAACTAGACAGGCATTCATTTTTATATAATTTAGTCTTAAGTTTTTTGATTCCAGACATATCATTTTACATCAGATTTCAAGGAAATACATCCCATATGAGCTGTAATAACAGTGTTGTGTTTATACTGAAAAAACAAACCTTATAATGTATCTGTAATTCTTCATTCTGTGAATCTGCCTGTAATAATGATGCTCTGTTAATAAAAGCTTCTGCTAATACAGGATCATCATCTTCTAGATATAACCTAGCTATTTTTAAATATGTCTGTAGTTTATAGTCTGTGGTATATTGTCTAAAAATATAAGAAAGTATATTCAAATAAAAACTCAATTCCAGTTTTCAAGATTCATAATAGATTTAGGCTTCTGATGTACCTTAGAGCTATTTTAAGGTTCTCTTCAAAGAGCTTCCTGAGTTTTGTTCTACTTGGCATGCCTAGCCACGGTGGCTCAATAAGAATTGTGCTGGCACAATAACCAGGCTTTTCAGGTATCAATCAAGGCCCCAGTTTCATAAAACATTCTCAGAATTCACTCAAAATTGTTTGCCTTAATTTAGCTAAAATAGAGCCCTTTATAAAACTTTTGTTGTTTAATGTATCAAATACATCAATAAGAAACTGTGCAAATTTTTGTGTTTCTGGATCAAAGGTATTTCTCATAAACAGAAATGGAAATTTGATTAAATTCTTAACTTAACTCTGTGAATGCTTTGTGAAACCGGGGCCAGATGTTTGCCAAGAAAGATATTTTTCAGCCTGGCATCCCCTTGCCAGTGGTACAGCAAAGGCCCGGACAGGGAAAAGTGTGTAGTCATTTGGTTAGTACAAAAAAACTAGGTCCAATTAATTTGTGCTAACTGGAAGAACCCATGACAGTTGGAATTCATTAAAGAGTAGGTCGAAATGTTTCTGTCTCGGCAAAATTTCCCTAAAATTTCATTTCTACTAAACACTTGTAATGTATCTATCTATCTTTATTTAACAAATAGATCTTTCATGCTCATGTAATATCTTCCAATCATAGGCTTGAATTGTAATATTATGTCAGTATGCTTCATGTTTTAATTTAGTTCAATATTATTTAAAATAATAAGCTTATTCATTTTGAAGCTCTACAAATTTTCAAAGGACAAATCTATTTTTTCATTGTTCCATATTCTCCGCTAAAATCATATGTACATTATGTAAAAGAAATACATACTTCTGACCAGTTTCCAATGGAATACCAACAAGAACATTTGCAGCATCCTTCCATGATTGTTCGTGTTCATAGATATCTGCTAGATGTTGGCGAATTGCTGCAACCTAAAAACAGAATTTTACACAATATAATATAGATATTATAGACATTGAAGTTCTTAATGACATCATCTCAGAAATTATATCACAGAAAATCAAACTTAATGTTTCAAGTAATTACATGAAGTTGCTGATGTGATACATAATGCCTTATCTGTATAGAACAGATTAACCATTTTGAAAAATGAGATGAGAAACACAACACACCAGTCCTTCATAAATTAAAAATGCTAGAAAACATTTTCTTGTGATTTAGATGTGTACAGCTACAGCTAATAGAATTACCTGCTCCTCAAAAGATATAACTCTAGAATGAATCTTCTCTAAGGTATAATGTGATACTTGTTTGGCTATATTATCTGGTAGCTTGGTCAACTGTGTTGTAAATTCTGATAAAATCTGTCTTGAAATAACCAGGCTAACATTTTCATTTACCACTAAAACAGTATAAAAAATACTTGGATAAGTTATGTGTATACTATCTCATTATAAATGTATATAAATCTGGGGCGGATCCAGGAAATTTTGCAGGAGGGGGTTTGCCAGGCTCCTGTTATGGAAATTTGACAGTTGACAATGCATGATGCCATCATCGTCTCTAAATTACATATACACATTGAGCTATTTAAAGAGATAAATCCAACACCCTGCTTGATGTCAATTTTTATAATGAATTGATACAATCACATTATGATTCAATTTCACTGATGCAAAGCATTAATTGTGACACCACACATGTCTATATCATTATTTCGCGCTTTGAATGCCAATCCCATCCCACCAACTGATGATAAAGGATGAAGCACATGACCGTTACACTTTTCTCATAAAGTGTTGTTTTACATTTTTTTTTTTATGTAGCCGAGCAGGTTAGGGTTTGGAGTAGTTTGGACCCCTCCTCTGGATCCGCTCCTGTAAATATTCTTTTGAAAAATGAACATACATCACAATCCTAAAACCTTGATAGGTAATCACTAATACACGATGTAATGGCAGGATGATCGCACCACAACAACTCAAAGTTAATGTATAAGTAATCAAGATAAATGGGACAAAAAAGACATTGTGTAAGCCATACAAGATCTTTATAACAAAGAAATGGAACCATTTCTAAAACTGAAGTCCTGCAAATTATTTTTTTTACTTAATTTTTACTTAATTTTTAAATGAAGAAACAACTAAAATTGTTTAGATACAAGTTAAACTACTTACAAGCCTCTACAAACACTTGCAAACATGGTATTAATTCTTCTTTTGAACCTTTCAATATTGTATCCAGAATGGCTTTATATCTAGAATGAAAACAAATAGAATTAAACTGTGTGATTTTATAATATATATTTGGACTAAAAACATATTCAAGCTGACCTATCTATCGAAAGTTTGCTTCAAATCTCTCTCAATACATTTTAATCAGAAATTTTTTTATTTTTTATCAATCATGTTACTTGATTAATCAGCTACAATTGGTAGCTGTGGCTGGAGGCAAGATGGAAGACATAAATAGTGGAACAATTCCTATTCTGGACTGTGCATTTATCTCATGTGCCTCAAAAAGTTTCCGTCTTCAATGACTTCATTAGCAGCCCAGTCCATTTCATTTCCTTTGCCCCGAGTTATTAGATTCGCAACATGACATTGCCTACCAATTCCTAGTTCCTTTAGAAACGGTCTCTGATCGGACACTGTCCTTTGTCCTAGCTGACCATTCCTGTCCTTTCCTTTAAAGCTGCAATATGAAAATATTTTTCACCATGATTCGTGTTTTTTCGCCAAAAGGAATCATTTCATGCCACATCTGACACAAACTTAAAATAATTCAAGTAAAATTTTGTGATTCAGCCACAAACCCAGCCCATCGCTTCCCTTATAAGACAGCTGGTTACTACGCATTTTTACTATTAAAGCCGTATATGGAAAGTGATGTATGATCATGTGAGGTGAAGTATACATGCTATTTCTGGATGGACAGACATTTTAAGTTGGGTAGGAAGTGGTTTATGTTATTGTTAAGCTATGTGCAGTACAATTTGGGGTCAGTTTATGTGGAAATTAAGGGAGCTATAAGCAAGTAACTTTTTTGTAGTCATTTGACTAAAACACTTGCTCAAAGGAACTGCTTAGAACAACCCACGACTGTGGCTGGAGTAAGACAGAAGACATCTGTAGTGGAACCATTTAATCTTGGGGTAGAGCAGTATTTTCATATCCGATATCGCAGCTTAAAGGGACGAACAGCAACAGTCAGAGAACAGTGTCCGATCAGAGACTGTTCCTAAAGGGAATGTATGACAACCCATGCCAAAGACCACTCTGCTCAAGACCTTCATGATGTCGAAATTGTCTTTCAATAATATTGACTGAATGTCAATAAAAATCAAGTTTCATTTATTTAGCCTAATTCCTATTATTTATGTCCTGACAACGGTGCTAAAACGAGAAATTAATAGCTAATGTACATATAAACGCGTAAAATGTATTGAACGATATATTCCAAGTGATGAAAAGTTATTTTACTTTTCAGTGACATCTTTGTGAGATCCTCCGGAGTGAGAAAGTCCAGCGAGCTGTGAAAGTTGATTTTTTACGGAGGCCGCCATTGTTGCCGTATTTATAATCTGCTGCATGATAATATTGATACAAAGCTATATTAAAATTCAATTGCACAACTGTTGGTGCTACAAAATCACAAAAGTCAATATTTGTGTTATTTCAATAACTTTTTCTTTTTTTAGTCATGAAATATAACAAATATATCCAATCAGAAGTTTTAAAATTATTAAGTCCGTACTTAATGGCTTCGCGGAGAGTGACATATTGAATATTATGGGATGATAATGGTGGGCGCGTGATTTTGAACAAATACAGAAATGCCTGCGAAAGGATCAGGTACGTGTAGAAGAAACTAAAATCATCATCAGTTAGCAGATTTTAGCAATAATTATCGAGTAAATAAACCAGTTGGTTCGATAGGCGATCGTCGGGCGGGTCACGGGAAACGCACCTGTCTCTGTCCGCGTACCCTATTTGGTAAACACGGCCAAGCGGATCATTTTGCGTGGAAAGTCGTTCACTAAATATGCAAATAATTCCTCAAAGAACTTCGTGTATTTTTATTATATGAAATATTATATGGTTGTGATTTGATAGGTCTCAATTAACAATTGTCAAAAGCAAATATTCTAACTGAAAAGTATGAATGGAAACGGTCGAGCAGTTTAAATTTCCCTGCAATTTTTGCGTTGACATGGCGGGTCATTCAATCTTCAGATGCAACCTATAAATGACATTTATGCTTGTTTCATCATATTTGGGCTACACAAATTTAAGTGTTCTCATTCAAGAAATAATATAGCATTTTCAAAGTTTGACTATGAGATTTTAGATGTCTATCCAAAGCTATTCATCACCGAAATACAGTTTTTAATTCCTGAAAACAGGAGGGGATAATATGACAAATCCACTGACCAGGTTGGAATTCTGTTGCCCTCTGCACAGATCTGTAATAAGTGAAGTTACGAATCCGAATTTCTCAACCTCTGTGTTTCAAGATAAGAGATGGTACTATATAGATCCATCTGGCCAACCTCAATGATTATCATATTGGGTTTCAAATAGGCAAAATTTTCCTTCAAAACAACGATTGATTATTGTTATTTATTAAATTTCTGCGACATCCAACTACAATCAAGCATATAATCCTACCTGAAATGGGTATAAATTCCATCTAGCTTTCCCCAACATTTTAAATTTGACATCTTGACCTCATGAAGGCCAGGTCTCATGTACAATAGCCAATCAAAGTACTTAGACCTACTAACCTAATCCTAGTTGCGCAGATGAATGTCTGGGTCAATTTTGATAAAAACAACGCTTGATTTACTTTATTGACAATATTTCTGGCTCGCTAGCCTGGAGGTCATGGGTTCGATCCCGGAGTTGGCAGAGAATGTTCATCAGGTTTTTCCAGCGAGGTTCAGGTTTTTCGTCAAGTGTTGCAGGATGGAGAGCCTGATAAAGACAGTTGTCTAATTGTTTGGATGGTGTAAAAAACCAAGGTCCCGTGTTCACATTGGCATGCACGTAAAAGGTCCCTTGGCAGTTGGAATTCGATATACATGTAAGAGTAGGCCATAGTGCTGCTGTCGGCTGTCTGTGTAAAATTTCTCTCATGGCACACTGTATGGCGTATGCCCCTCTTCATTAGCCCAGTCGGAGCAGAACAGTAGGATGTTAAATTTCATTTCATAATTTCAATAATTTCCGTTAATCACTTCTAGAGTTATGGCCCTTGTTCCACTTTGTTGAACCCTGTGAACGCTCTAATGATGACAAAAGTGATCATCCATTCTGTATGAAATTCATACATGTATGCATCATTTAAATTAGTGAAGCCTATTGAATTTCAGCAATTTCAGTTAATCACTTTTTGAGTTATGGCCCATGTTTCCTTTTGTTGAACCTTGTGAACGCTTGAACAAATGTTTTCATTTGATCTGTATGAAATTAATATTACAAAAAAACCTGTTGAATTTCAACAATTTCTGTAAATTACTTCCAGAATTAATGTCCTTGTTTCATGTTGTAGTTTTAGAACCTTGTGAACTGGGAAACAACGAAAATTATGATTGGACCCACATTATGAACAAAAGAATAAATGAGTGACAACCTTTGTTGACTGCTCGGATGATTTAGGTGGTGTTGGCATACATGTATGTTTCATTGTCTGACAGCCCATCTTTTATTAAAAGGCAAGCAGTTGGTGCAGAAAAGTAGGATTTTAAGCCCTATTTATTTGATGTTAAGAGTTCATACTGATTAATAATATCAGTCTTTGTGTCATTTAATTTTGAGTTGTTTGTACTAGAAATAATTTGCATTATATTGTTTTATTTATTTTATTCAGATACCACCACAGTAAAGCAAGAAGATGACACTTCAACATCTATTGTAGTGACCACTGCAGTGGCTACCCAAGTAAACAACAACAATGTTAATTCAAATAATATATCTACAGCAGCTGGTGAACCGTTTAGTTTGATTGAGAAGAAGGTGGTGACAAAAACTGCAGTGCCGTTGTCTGGTACTAGTGTTAAATCAGTTGGAACTCCAATAATTGTTGATGCTTCAGATGCTAGTTCCTTGCTTGCCAATACTGGACAAACTTTAACAAATATAGTTGACTTGACTCACACTAATGACAAACAATTCTTGAAGAGGCAGATATCTCCTTCAGGAAATAGTGGTAATCCCGTTATCACGAAAGTTATTATTAAAAAAAATCCCTCAACTAGTCAGCCACAAGCAGTACCTGTTCAGATGGCGAATGCACAGGGTCAAACCTTATTTGCTTCATTACCAAGCGGTATCAGTATTGTCCCACAGGTTCAGACTGTAACTCAAACGAGTGGTATGAATAGTCCAACCAAAACTGTGACTATATCATCTCAAGGTGTTGTTTCTTCTGGTGGAAAAACTATTCTAGCATTACAAAAAACTCCTACCAAGGGAATTGTGCCAATAAATAAAATACCTATTTCACCCATCAAAACACCGACTAAAGTAACAATGATTCCAGTTTCAGCAAAATCTCCCCAGAGATACCCCACTGTGTACAGTTCTTCAGTGTTATCAAACAGTTTAAAACAGCCAGTAATAACCATGTCACCATCTAAGGTCATAATTAAACAAACACCAACAGGTGTAGTGAGTTTACAAGTAAGTATACCGCAAAGGCCTAGAAAAAGGGTTGCATCATTGATGATGTATGAAAATGTTTGTAGACATTGCCATGTCAACATCATGATTATGGTTTATTAATGTGTATGTATATGATCACTTAAAAACATTTCACCTCAAAGTCTGAATTTGTGTTACTATCTCCAAGTTTTATCTGTTGGTCATCCAAATTTGTATAATTATATTTTTGTTATCATGGTACAAGAATGTGTGTTTGTTTAAATGTGATAGCATCTTGTATACTGTACATGTAGGCTTACACTGTGTGTTAGAAGATGCACACATATGGAGCAGTAGAACAAGACCAATTTAGTGTGTAAATTTATTGTGAAAGAAACATGTATAAGTCAGTGACTGCTGTAGGCATTCCACAATGGCAATGATTCGTATCATTGGCGATAAAATGTGACATCCCAGCGAAAATTCTGGCGAATGAATTTTTTTTACGATTAATAGATCTTTGAATTCTGACATGAACACTTCTTTTGATCATAGAACTGTACATAGTGGAAATCTATGTTTCGATTGCATGGCTGTTGTGTCTTTTTATACGCCCACATTTTCATGTGGATGTATATTGTCATCGCACCTGTCCTCCGTCCGTCCACAATTGTTTGTGAACACTCTACAGGTCACAATTTTTATCCAATTTCATTGAAACTTGAAATAAAGGTTTATCACCCTAAGATCTCGGTACCTTTCGATATTGGCATGTATCGGACTATGGATTATGGCCCTTGATTGTACGAAAAATCACGTTTTTAGCTTGTGAACACTGTAGAGGTCACAAGTTTTATCCGATTCGGTTTAAACTCGAAATGTATCTTTATAACCCACAGATCTCTGTTCCTTTCGATATTCGCGCATATCGGACCATAACTTCCTGAAATATGGCCCCTGATTGTACGAAAAATCGTGTTTTTAGCTTGCGGACCCTATCGAGGTCATAATTTTTATCTGATTTAAAAAAGGTTTGAATAATATATTATATCACCGTTACACCCTAAGGATGGTTGAGTTTAAATTTCGTAAAAATCAGACCAAAACTGACAGCCAAAATGGCTGCCCCACGTTCGTAAATAATGTCAAAATATTGTGTATCGGGGTTGCAGACCCCCTGGAGGTCACATTTTTCATCTGATTTTGATGAAACCTGAAATGCATGTTTATAACCCAAATATTCCAAAAATATGGCCCCTGATTGTACGAAAAATTGCGTTTTTAGCTTGTGGTCCCTCTAGAGGTCACAATTTAAAAAAAACGTTTGAATATATCACTGTTACACCGTAATGTTTGTTGAGTTCGAATTTCGTGAAAATCAGGGAAAAAACTACCGGACAAAATGGCCGCCCCTAGTATGCAAATAGTGTAAACATCTGGTAAATCAAGGTTGTGGACCCTCTAGAGGTCCAAATTTTGATCCGATTTCAATGAAACTTGAAATACATGTTTATAACCCAAAGATATTGGTTCCTTTCGATATTCGCGCATATCGGATCGTACCTTCCTGAATTATGGCCCTTGATTGAACAAAAAATCATGTGGTCCCTGTAGACGTCACAATTTTTATCTGATTTAAAAAAAAAACGTGTGATTATATCACCATTACACACTAAGATCTTGGTTCCTTTTGATAACCATGGATACCCGAACTTAACTTCCTGGATTATGGTCCCTGATTGTTCGAAAAATCACATTTTTAGCTTGCGGATTCTGTAGTGGTCAAAAAAAATTTCCAATTTTAAAAACCGTTTAAATGCATCACCATTCCACCATAATGAAGGTTGTATCCGAATTTCGGGAAAATCGAAATGAAACTGCCCGACAAAATGGCCGCTCTTTGTACACAAATTGTGTAGAAGTGTGTAATACGAAGGTTGTGGACCCTCTAGAGGTCACAATTTTTATCTTTATATCCCAAAGATCTCAGTCCCTTTTGATATTTGCACATTTCTGACCATAACTTTCTGGATTATTGCCCCTGATTGTACAAAAAAACGCACTTGTTTTTAGCTTGTTCTCTATCCATCTCTTGCAAAATGTGGGCGTTTCCTGTCTGGCAGCCGCTGTTTTAGTACATGTATCTGGTTTCGATCCATTGACTTTGTATCAGTACTGAAATAAATAGTACCTGACATTTTCAGCTTAGCGCCAGACATTTATAAATAATATCAATAAAAAAGACAAATCAGTGCTGGACAAAATGACAGGCACCAATGTCTGTACCTGACATTGTCTGTGACAGGTGCCTTATTTCCAGGCTTGGCTGTTGTAATCTTCACACAGATTGTGAATCCCCAACACCATGAATCCCACGCAGATATTAAATTAATTTCGATCATACAGTCATTTAATGGTTTCACCAATCTTACCTCACAGATCTCATTCAGTCATATCAACCAAATCATCCACTTCGCTCACAAAATAAGCCATCATTGGTTGTCGTGTCACATGATAGCGACTGCTTGACCGAGTTATTTATTGTGGCGTTATCGTGGCAATTTTCAACAAAAAATGACAAAATAATCGTGTCCCGTCAAATCATCGCGATGACCTACTGTAATCTGAAATCCTATGGGGATAAAGCCTTCAGTGCTTGTGGACTGTGTCTGTGGAATAACCTACCATTGGAGACACAGAGTTCTCAAATATTATAGCTGTGTTCAAATCCAAACTCATTTGTTTGTTACTTATTATCAGGATTGGCTAATATCTTCCATGTGCTTAGACTTTAGAGCATGCAATATGGATGGAGTGAGCGCAATGATAAATGTACATTATTATTATTAAAAATATATTTTTTGACATGATGTCCAATGCCGAATTACATGTACATATATTTCGTACAGCCGTTGAGGGACAGTTGTTATGGTAGTAAAAAAATAAAACCAGCGATGCAAGATTTAGTTTTTAAATAGAGTTGACTGTTATAATTTAGTATTTCATACATATTCTGACAGGGGCTCAATTTTAAATGGAGGGACCTGACCTGAAAGCATAATCTTTGATTTTTAGTTGGAATTCTTTTTGCGAACTTTGGAACAGTCTGGACTGGCCCTGGGAATGAAATAATACCCTTGTGTACTACATTAACCATTTAAACTTGAATGTAGGTTAATAATTGTAACAAATGAATAAATAAATAATTTGGTTACAATTATCTGATTTGGTTAATGATATTTGTATTTGGCTAAAGTTTTTTGGAGGTTAGGGAGGTCACTTACATTTATATAATTTGAAAGCAGACTTAATTGTGTAACTTGTATCATGTATGTACATTTATCCCTGAAGCAGTGGTAAGTATTAATCATGCATATTAATCTTGTCTATCTATATATAATAAAAGTGACATTTATGTTGAATATCATTTATTGGATCTATTGAAATATAAAGTTATACATAGTTAAATATCAAATGACATTACTGGTCTATTGTGTATAATAGGCTATTGTACATAAAGCTTGGACCGCTGTATATACCAGGATATAATTTTCAATGAATACATGTAGGTCTTTTAATCTTGACACATATCTATCTACATGTACATGTGTGTTATGTATATATACTCTACACTTGATCAATGTTTGTATGATTTTATTTTCGCAAAGTACATGCATAGGTTAAAAATTATTATATAAGCTTACATACATATATGTAGTACCAGTAGATTAACTGGACACTGATGAATAGTTGTGCAGATTTATTAACAATTTTCACAATGTCGTCGAATTACAATACAATTTAAAAAAAAAATGAAAATCAGTGTATAATGCCCATTGTTCCAACTGCAAAAAGGGTTTGTCATACCTTTGCCCGTTTATGTTTTACATTTTCTTCGATGTTTTCTGCGTAATACATGTAGATTTGATCCAAATATGGTAGATGTTGTCTGGGTTGTGCGTATTCAGTTTTTTTGGGGAGTGTGAGTAAGTGGGGGTTCCTGAAATTTAGTCAATTTCACACATTTTCTCCATAGGTTTTTATACGCCCACATTTTCATGTTGACGTATATTTTCGTCGCTCCTGTCTGTCCGTCCGTCCGTCCATCCATCCATTCACAATTTACTTGTGGACACTCTATAGGTCACAATTCTTATCCGATTTTGACGAAACTTGAAATATATGTTTATCTCCAAAAGATCTTGGTTCGTTTCGATGTTGGCATGTATCGGATCGAAACTTCATGGATTATAGCCCAGGCCTTTATTGTATGAAAAATCACATTTTTAGCTTGTGGACACTCTGAAGGTCACAATTTTTATCCAATTTAGACGAAACTTGAAATGTATGTTATAACCCAAAGATCTTGGTTCCTTTCCATATTCGCACATATCGGGCTGCAACTTCATGGATTATAGTCCCTGACTGTACGAAAAATCATGTGTTTAACTTCCGGTCCCCCTAAAAGTTAAAATTTTTATCTGATGTAAAAATAAAAAAAACCTTCTAATATATCACTGTTGCACCATAATGATGATTGAGTTCGAATTTTATGAAAATCAGACCAAAACTGCCAGAAAATATGGCCACTCTAGTGTTAAAGTATGTAATATCAATGTTGTGGACATTCTAGAGGTCACAATTTTTATCCAGTTTTGATGAAACTTAAAATACATGGTTATATCCCAAAGATCTTGGTTCTAATCGATATTTGCGCATCAGATCGTAACTTCCTTTTAACTTGTAAACCCTCTAGGTCTCAAAAAACGTTCAAATATATCATAATGATGGTTGAATTCATTTCGTGAAAATTCGTCGGACTGAAACTGCCCGACAAAATGGCCACTTCCCAGACATGTATTAAAATTATCTATTATTATAACACTGAAAAAAGGCAAATCTGTACAGGCATAAAAGGCACCAGAGGCATTATGACTGACAATATCCTAATTTGTATTTGACAATGTGACAACTGCCTTATTTCAAGGCTTGCGGATCTGGAGAACCTGAAAGGTATAAATTTAGACATTTTCTTATTTTATATTAGTAATGTTGGATTTTAGGTACATGTACCTATGGTAATGTGTTTAAAATAAAATTGCTTGGCCACAAGATCGAGCAAGTGTAGACATTTTCTCGTAGGAAATTATTAATGACTTGATAACCTATTACCTAATGCAACCCGTTGGTGGGCGATGAAGTCCACTTGTTAGTTATCCTAACTGAAAATGTGACTCACCCATAGTGTAGAAACACCAGGCAGTATTTTCAGTGGACAAATATCTTTAAATGCCCCTGATTTTTGAAATTATAATCAAATATTCTATTATGTGTGGCTGGGTTTATTATTGGTTTTAATCATTTTCCAGCAAAAAGTTCAGACAAGCACAGTAAAAACAGTACCAAATATAGCACCTGCTCAGCAATCTATACGACCTGTTACTATTAGTACATCTAACTTACAACAAATACAGGTACCTGGTAGTCGTTTTACTTATGTTCGTCTTGTGTCTCCATCACCTGGAACAGGTTAGTTACATTATTATATTCCCAGATTTCAGTGTGTGTGTATAGTATTATGTTGTAACACACACATCCGTCCGTCATTCTGTCAAATTTGCAGTTCAAATTTGGTGTGAAGCATGGGGATCAGCGAGTATGAACTCTGTTGATTTTCATCATTCTACTAGGACTTTCAGAGATATGTTATGTGTCTGGAAAAGCATTGAACACTAAAGAGATCAGGTTTCTTGAAGGCAGATTCTTGTCAACATCCACGTTTTCCTTTACATAAACTATCTTTTTATACGCCCACATTTTCATGTGGACGTATTATGCCGTCGCCCCTGTCCGTCCGTCCGTCCGTCCACAATTTGTTTGTGGACACTCTACAGGTCACAATTCTTATCCGATTTTAACGAAACTTGAAATATAGGTGTATCTCCAAAAGATCGATATTGGCATGTATCGGATCGAAACTTCATGGATTATGGATTATGGCCCCTGTTTGTACGAAAAATCACGTTTTTGGCTTGTGGACCCTATAGAGGTCACAATTTTTATCCGATTTTGTTGAATCATGAAATGTAAGTTTATAACCCAAAGATCTCGGTTCCTTTCGATATTCGCGCATATCGGACCGTAACTTCCTGAATTATGGCCCCTGATAGTACGAAAAATCGCGTTTTTAGCTTGTGTACCCTATAGAGGTCATAATTTTTATCCGATTTAAAAAACCATATTATTATATCACCGTTACACCATAAGGACGACCGAGTTCGAATTTGGCGAAAATCAGCCCAGAATTGACAGACAAAATGGCCGATGTTCGTTCTCAAATAGCGTAAAAATACGGTATATCAAGATTGTGGACCCTATAGAGGTCACAATTTTTATCCAATTTTGTTGAAACTTGAAATGTAAGTTTATAATCCAAAGATCTCGGTTCCTTAACTTCCTGAATTATGCCCCCTGATTGTACGAAAAATCGCGTTTTTAGCTTGTGGACCCTATAGAGGTCATAATTTTTATCTGATTTAAAAAACCGTATTATTATATCACCGTTACACCCTAAGGAAGGCTAAGATCGAAAATGGCCACCCCTCGGTCTCAAATAGCTTAAAAATATGGTATATCAAGGTTGTGGACCCTATAGAGGTCACAATTTTTATCCGATTTTGTTGAAACTTGAAATGTAAGTTTATAACCCAAAGATTTCGGTTCCTTTCGATATTTGCGCATATCGAATTGTAATTTCCTGAATTATGGCCCTTGATTGTAGGAAAAATCACTTTCTTATTAGCTCGTTCTCTATCCATCTCTCGAAAATGTGGGCGTATTCTGCCTGGCAGCCGCTGGTTTTTTCAAGAGATAGCTGCTGTGTGGGCATATCTCTTTGTTTTAAGACCACACCTGCATGACATATACCCCTTAGGTTTTCAAAATTTATATGGACTTTGGTTTCTATTACTTTTCAGTAGAGCAGAGTTTCAGTTACATAATGTTGCCATCAAATATAAAATAAATCACCTCTATGTTTTTGATGTTATTTTTGACAATAACTTTTTACAGTGAATAAAGTAACAACAGCTACAGTACAGTCTGTTAGATCAATAGCACCAGCTAGTGTCCAAGCTGGTCAGAATAATTCAAATCAAGTCAAGATAACTTTACCAATGCAAGGTGGACAGCTGGTGAGTAATTTTATTAAAGTTTTATTCACAGGTAATATAATATGTCAACATGTAAAATTAAAATAAACAGCTGGTTTCAGGATAATTACATGTATAATATTATTAGTAGTGTTGAAGTTCCGGGAAAATTTAAATATTTGGCTACCTGAACATATTCGTGTATATTTTTTATAGTGGACGTATATTGCCTGTCTTTGTGTCGCCTACAGGCCACAATTCTTAAGTGATTATCTTGAAACTTTACATACTTATTCCTTATACCCTAAGGATGATCCCTTTTGATTTTGGTGCATGCCCACCCCCAGGGGCAGAGCCACGCCCATTTTTTTTTATTTGTTTGTTTGTCGTATCATCTTGAAACTTGGCATACTATATTCTTTGAACCATAAGGAACATCCCTATCGTTTGGGGTGCATGCCCAACCCCCAGGGGCAGAGCCACGCCCATTTTCTTTTCCTGTGTGTCACCTACAGGCCACAATTCTTAAGTGATCATCTTGGAACTTTACATACTTATTCCTTATACCCCAAGGATGATCCCTATTGTTTTTGGTGCATGCCCGACCCCCAGTGGCATAGCCACGCCCATTTCTTGTATTTGTTTATCATCTACAGACCGCATTTCGTAACTTATCACCATGAAACTTTGTATACTTATTCCTTCTATCCTAAGGAACATCCCTATTGTTTATGGTGAATGCCTGCAATGCTTAATTGATCATCTTGAAAACTTTTTTGTACTTATTCCTTATACCCTAAGGCTGGCCTCTATTATTTTTGGTGCATGCCCGACCCCCGGAGACAGAGCCACGCCCAATGTTTGTGTGTCTCTGTATGTTGCCTACAGGCCACGATTCTTAATGGATTGTCTTTGAACTTGGGATATGTGTTACTTATAGCCTAAGGATGACAACTGGATGTCCCGACCCCCAGGGGCAGAGCCACACCCAATGTTTGTGTTTATCGTTTACATTTACAGGCCGCAATTCTGAATGGATCAACTTGGTACATGGCATATGTATTCCTTATAGCCTAAGGGTGTTAACTATTGATTATGGTGAATGCCCCGACCCCCAGAGGCAGAGCCACGCCCAATTTTTGATTTTAGCACCTGAGAGCCACAATTCTGAATGGATTATCTTGGAACTTGGTATACTTATTCCTTCTTAAGGACGGCAACTGTTGATGTTGTCATTACAATAACAGGGTGGTACCTATTTATATTGTTCCATATCCAACCCCCAGGGGCAGAGCCACACCCAATTTTTGTATTTATCATCTACAGGCTGCAATTCTGAATAGATCATCTTGAAACTTTGCATATTTATTCCTTATAAGTTATACCGCAAAGACAGCAACTATTTATTTTGGTGCATGTCCAGACCTCCTGGGGTAGTGTCACACCCACTTTTTTGTTAATAATTTGTCTGTAAATTTGGCAAAACAAACCCAATGCCAAGCCTTCTTTGCCTCTTGTCATATTACAGCCATTTCATATTTCATTTTCTTCGTTTTAAAAAGTACCATATCAATCAAAGCTGGAATGTGGGTGTATTGCAGCGTTAGCGATGCTCTTGTAATACTTAGTTTTGTTGTTTTATGTGCATGCTAATTCATCTATTGTACGGCGTGTGTTATGTGTAAAGGCTAATAAACCGTGTGTAATGTCATTTTATAGGTTTTAAGGAGTACAGAATACAAATGTTGTAGTATAAGTTATCAATCCGACTACATGCGCCATCTTGTTTTTCAAAATGGCAACTATTGGCGTTTTTCACCGTATATTTGATACTTGATCATGTAATATGTCATTTTTAGATGTTTTTCGGGGGGAGGGGGTTGTATACATTTATACATTCATTTTTCATTTTATATAGTGAATAATTCACTAAAAAGAAATTAAATCGCATGGAAGTAAAATTTTTATTTACCATTGAAAAAGCATTGAAATAACAGTTTTTTCATAGTCGTACAGGATTGTTATTAAAGTTTGTAACATGTGTAACGCCATTGTTGCATTTAAACACCATTATATACCAGAACTGCCGTAACAAGGACATTGACAACAAAACCCACGAGCATGAGCCCCAATTTTGAAGAGTTGCGAATGGGGTCGATATAGATAGTATATTTATAGACTCATTTTTGTGAAAACTCAATTGCGATCAAAATCAATATTTTCACTTGATTTGTCTGTAGCTCATTACTAGACTTTGAGCATTCCGACATGTTCAAATCATTTTGCCAATATTAATTTAAATGAATTTTTTTATGAACATACATGTAGGTGTATACTGTATATGTCTGTACATTATGTATTAAGCAAAGTTCATTAACTATTTCCGTACATATTTTGAGAAGTTTATAATTGCCTAGCTGTCTGTTATATTTTTATGATTTTATTGTTGGTTTATTATAGGTTACATCAAAAGCAGGAACTAGTTTACAAAATACACAGACAATACAGCGGATATTATTACCAGCACAACCAAATCAGAATCGATCTACAGCACCTACAACACCCTCTCCATTAACTCAAATACGTCCTGTACCATCAACATCTAGTACCAGTCAGTCTCTGTCCCAACTAATACCTGGAGCCACTCTATTACCCACGGGTAGTAATATACAAGGTTATGCTCTTGTACCAGCTAATTATGTTGCTCAGGTACTACAATTAAAATATATTCATCAGTTTTCTTATGCCCACATGGAAATGTCGCCGTATTTTGTCATCACCTCCGTCCATCTATCGTTCACAATTTTTTGTTTACAGAAGTTAGACAAAGAATCCTATTGAAATTCAGCAATTTCCGTTTATTGCTTCTAGAGTTATGGAAATTGTTTCATCTTGTTGAACCTTGTGAACCCTCTAACAACAGAAGTTATCATCCAATCTGTATGAAATTGATATGCATCATTTAAATTAGTAAAACAAAGAAGCCTATTGCATTTAGGCAATTTATGTATATAACTTCTAGAGTTATGGCACTTGTTTCACTTTGTTGAACCTTGTGAACACTCCAACAACAAAAGTTATCATCCGATCTGTATTAAGTTTATATGCATCATGTAAGTTAGTGAAACGAAGAAGCCTTTTGAATTTCAGCAATTTCTGTTACTTACTTCTAGATTTGTGGCCCTTGTGTCACTTTGTTACAGCTTGTGAACGCTCAAACTCCATAAGTTATCACCCAATCTGTATTAAATTTATATGCATTTATTCAAATTAGTGAAACAAAGAACCCTATTGAATTTCAATAATTTCCGTTAATTACTTCTAGAGTTATGGCCCTTGTTGAACCTTGAACAAGAAAAGTTATCATCCCAGTGGTATCAAATTGGCCCGTGCCACACCCACTTTTTGTTAATATTTTGTCTGTAAATGATATATAGGCTGCAATTATTAACAGATTTGGATCCATAAGTTATCGCCCAATCTGTATTAAATTTATATGCATTTATTCAAGTTAGTGAAACTAAGAACCCTATTGAATTTCAGTAATTTCCGTTAATTACTTCTAGAGTTATGGCCCTTGTTGAACCTGAACGAGAAAAGTTATCATCCCAGTGGTATCAAATTGGCCCGTGCCACACCCACTTTTTGTTAATATTTTGTCTGTAAATGATATATAGGCTGCAATTATTAACAGATTTGGATCCAATTCTGAATGATCCATCATAGGGTTGTACCTATTTATATTGGACATATTATGCCGTCTGCCCGTCCGTCTGTCCACAATTTGTTTGTAGACACTCTACAGGGCACAATTTTTATCCGACATTGACGAAACTTAAAATATAGGTCTATCTCCCAAAGACCTTGGTTCCTTTCGATATTGGCATGTATCGGAAAATAACTTCATGGATTTTGGCCCCTGATTGTACGGAAAATCAATTTTTTAGCTTGTGGAGACTCTAGAGGTCACAATTTTCACCTGATTTTGATGAAACTTGAAATGCATGTTTATAACCCAAAGATCTTGGTCGTATTCGGATCGGATCGTAACTTCTTGAATTATGGCTCCTGATTGTACGAAAATCAGGTTTTAAGCTTGTGGTCCCTCTAGACTTCACTATTATGATCCGATTTAAAATAACGTTTAAATATACCACTGTTACACCATAATGTTGGTTGCGATTGAATTTTCATGAAAATCAGGCCAAAACTGCCGGACAAAATGGCCGGCCCTCGTACGCAAATAGTGTAAACATCTGGTATATCAAGGTTGTGGACCCTCTAGAGCTCACAATTTTAATCCGATTTTGATGAAACTTGAAACACATGTTGATAACCCAAAGATCTTGGTTCCTTTTGATATTCGCGCATATCGGATCGTAACTTCCTGATTTATAGCCCTTGATAGCACAAAAAATCATGTTTTTAGCTTTTGGTCCCTGTAGAGGTCACAATTTTTATCCGATTTAAAAAAAAACGTGTGAATATATCACCGTTACACACTAAGATCGTGGTTCCTTTTGATAATCGCGCATATCCAAACATAACTTCTTGGAATATTGTCTCTGATTGTTTGAAAAATCGCAGTTTTAGCTTGCAGGTTCTCTGGAGGTCACAATTTTTTTTGCTATTTAAAAAAATGTTTAAATATATCACCATTTCACCATAATGAAGGTTGAATTTCAGGAAAATTGAAATGAAACGGCCCGACAAAATGGTCGCTCTGTGTACACAAATTGTGTAAAAATATGTATTCGAAGGTCGTGGACCCTATAGAGATCACAGTTTTTATCCGATTTTGATGAAACATAAAACATATTTTTATATCCCCAAGATCTCAGTCCCTTTTGATATTTACGCATTTCAGACCTATATCAGTTCTATACGTAAATCTTTTACAGATGGCACAGCAACAGAAAGGTCCAAGTGTGTCAAATTTATCAGCCACAACAGCTCAAAGACCCCCATCAGATTTTATTAATATTGCTAGTAGTGATCCTACCATCACTGCTAATGCTGTGGCCAGAAATGCTCCAAACTTAAATGGGTAAATATGGTCTTTTATTGATAAAGTAATAATATAATGAATATATATATATTCTACTAAATATATATTTCAAACTGTTATGATACTCATACAAGGTATTGTTGATTAACTTGATACCATTAACAATACCTGTATGATTATTGAAACATAGAATTGAAATGAGGTGGGGTTTGATGCCCTACTTTTCTGCACTAACCGTATAACTTAAAAGTGTAATCCATGGGCTCTCTTGCATTCCCTGTGCACTTTGTTTAAGTCAATTCCAATGTTCAAGGTTCTTTTACGTGCACACCAATGTGTACACAGGACCCGAACAGCCAAAAACTGCTGCTTGCCGTATCAATGCTTGAGAATCCTGAGGAACTTCCCCTGACCTACACCGGCATCAATTGACCTCCTGGTCGTGAGTTATCGCCTTACTGACTTGGCCATCATGGCTCCCTCTTTTTGATGATCCCAGAGAAACTGGTGGTTCTAATTGTCATATTTATATAAAAGCCAAATTTTAAGATTTTATTATCCTAAGCTAAAATTTCATGTTTATGCAGTATAGTTTATAAATTTATACAAATTCTGCTGCATTTTCAATGCATTTGAACTGTTGTCGTATTTTGTTGTGACCCCTGTCCATCTGTCCGGCGTCAACATTGCTTGTGGACGCTCTAAAGGCTAAAGTTAATATGGCCCTTGATCAGTTTGAAATATCTTGTGGACGCTCTAGAGGCTAAATTTAATATCCGATTGACTTTGAATTTATACACAGTGTTTGAGCTCAAGCCTATTGATTTTCAACAAGTTATGGCCCTTGATGACTTTGTATTTGGCCCTTCACCTAAAAAGTTTGCCCACCACTGCTCTAGAGGGTAAATTTAATATCCGATTGACTTTAAATTTATACATTAAATTTTGACTATGAGACAAAGAAGGCTAGTGATTTTTAATGATTTCTGATAATTACTGCCCTTGATCACTTTGAAAAATCTTGATACACAGAGTTTAAGGTCTTGAGACCAACAAATATTTTGATTTTCAATGAATTTTGATAACTTGAACAGCTAAATCCATGATATTAAATGTTTCGTATACTAAACGTTAGCATGGGACAGAATTGAAGGCCAAAACAATTCTAAAAATTTTCTGATAATTACTTAATGGGTTGTTACTCTTAATCAGATTATAAATTTTTCATTACCAACAATAGAAAAAATATGCAACATCTCTTGTTGACTGCTCAGACGACTTAGCTGATGTGGCGTATGTTTCGTTGCCTGGAAACCTATCTTTAAAAATATTTTTGATACTTTACAGTGGAACTATTGAAGCAACTGGTGCAAGACCAAGGAAGCCATGTAACTGTACTAAATCACAGTGTTTAAAATTGTAAGTACTCATAAAACTTAATTGCCAAAACCAAACTTTTTCGGTAAATTTTGACTCTGATGCCACAAACTGACAGATTAATAAACTTAAGTTTTTAAAGGGAAAGTGTCAGTAATAATAAATTATAACACATACTTATGAAAGAACAATTACTGATTTATTTAGGCCACATTTCGAAGAGTATTCTCTCAACGTTTTCAAGCAAGTACCGTAACAAATGTGTAGGGCAATTATATATATAGACAAGCAATAACAACAAATCAGAAACCATGCACGACAACAACCAGATCCAAGGCATGAAAGCTACATGATCAAAGGCAAGGTGCATATAAAGGATTAGTGAGACCACTGATGATTGGCATTAATTAACAATGGAGATATTAATAAGTAATTATAGGGGTAAACATTTTTAATAAGGCAACCAATAATGACAAATCAGTAGTACTGAGCCAGGTTGTAATAGTCCTATCAGATTCTTTGATTTGAATTTAAACTATAATGTGTCTTCTTATTGATTAGATTTCCACAGTGTCTTGACAAATGTCAACTCTATAAACTTATCTAGATCTGTGTAGAATCCTGTATTTTAGGGTTGACATTCCTCATATGTTCAATTGAAACCTAATGAATAAAGTAGGTGTTTTTATACACCTACATTGAAATGTGGTTGTAGATTGTTCCCCCTCCACTCCTGTCCGTCATCCAAAATTGACTAAATTCAATTGATTGTTCAGTATAATAATTGTCATTTCAGATACTGTGATTGCTTTGCAAATGGAGAATTCTGTCATAACTGTAATTGTTTAAATTGTGCCAACAACTTAGAACATGAGGAAGAACGATCTCGTGCAATTAAATCCTGCCTTGATCGAAATCCCATGGCATTTCATCCCAAAATAGGTAAATTTAAGTTGTCTTTTAATGAAAATTTATATAAAATTTTTAAGCATAGTGTTTGAATAATAGTAGAAACAAATTCAGGTTCTAATAACAAAAAAAATGCAAGAATGGGGCAAGCAATATCAATGGAAACCGGTCTGTTGAATACATTATGAATCTCTGTTATATAATTAATATAGATGTTAAAAACTCCTGTGTTTTATTCAATTTACAGGTAAAGGAAAACATGGTGTTAATCACAGAAAACATAATAAAGGATGTAATTGCAAACGATCTGGTTGCCTTAAAAATTACTGTGAATGTTATGAGGTAATACAGAGTTTTTACTTCAGCTCAAAATATATTACACTTTTGTGGCTGGTTATACAGAAGATACAAACTGAGTTCTACATATTTTAAATACTATAATCAGTAAACATGAATTATCAATCCATGTAGCTACAACTGCTCTCTACTTCAGTTAGTAACAATAATTATTCAGATTCTTCTAATCTTTGTTACAGATCAACCATAGTAAAAGATATCTATGCTAAAATTATATTTTGAATGTGTTACCCAGTTTTATCACATGTAAAACTATTGGACAGCAACATTGTCCATTAAGGTTCCCACAATTTACCATAATCCATAACAATGTATTGGTTGGTTGATGATGGAGATGTCAATGTAGTGTAATATGAAAAATGAAACAAAATATAATTGATTAACGTGAGATTGTCTCCCGAGTTGAAGGCTCATTTAAAAAAAAATCTGCAAATGTGCCTAGATTCTGACAACTAAGAAATCTTGGTATTATTATTATTATCAATCAGTAGGCTCTTGATTTTGGTCTTTCAATTGCTGTGTGATTTACTATGTTAATTCTTATTCTAGGCGAAAATTATGTGCTCAAGTTCTTGTAAATGTATTGGTTGTAAAAATTTTGAAGAAAGTCCAGAAAGAAAAACTTTAATGCATCTGGCAGATGCTGCTGAAGTTCGTGTTCAACAACAAACAGCAGCTAAAAGTAAATTTTCCTCACAGATGTCAGGTTTACCATCAAAACCATTACCCTCATCGAATGGTGAAAGGTAAGTTCCTTTATATTTTCTATACTAATTGATATTTGGATTCTACTAATGTCTCCCTTGATAACTTTATTCCATTTTGGGGGGGTTTCTGGGTCCTACATATATTAAAGTCTCATGGAATAGATACCTATATGTGTAAGATTCAAGAGTTTTGATATCTTTTTGCTTTTATGTTATGCTTCCATCAGCATTTTCGGAATGAGTGGAATTATAGTTTTCTGTAACAATTTGAAATAATTTTGAGAATATATGAAATGTGAGGTATATATATATATATATATATTAATTCAAGGAATTCATGAGTGAAATTTTAGTTACTGATCACTTTAACTATAATACTTGTTTTTATCACAGATTACCGTATACCTTGATAACAGCAGAGGTAGCAGAAGCAACATGTGCATGTTTATTAGCACAAGCTGAAGAAGCTGAAAGATTAAAAATGCCTCCTGTTGTTCAGGAACGAATGATCATTGAAGAATTTGGTCGTTGTTTAATGCAGATAATAGAATCAGCAAATAAAACGAAAGGTTTGTATGAAGTTTATTCTTGACTGAAATATAATGTTTTTATTGTTGTACTGTACACTTTGGGACACTCCCCCTTCACTCAATTTGATATATATACATGAAACAGTACTAGAAACATCCCAATTTATTTTGTGTATATAATTCAACTACTGTTGACATGTGCATAGCAGATTTCTCTGAGAATCCTTGGGGTTAACATTTTGTTTGAGGCAAATCCTTTTGGGAAAACATCTGTCAATCTGACCAGCAGAGTGTTAAAAACAAATTAGGCCACACTCACATTATAAAACGTTTTCGTATAATTAGATTAACACTGGTATCTACCATCCGAAAACATTCTTGAACTAATCTTTTTATGGAATTATGATTTCATGATCTAATTTGAAATGTTTTTGTTAATTTCAGATGGTACCTGAAAGTAATGTGTGTTTACAGAGTTTTTATATAATGAGTATATATAATATATAAACCCATGTACTTTCATATACAGTGTAGTTATCACCATTTAGCTAAAATATCATTTACTTGTTCTGTCATACAGGAAAAGTGTCATTATCATCATACGAATAACAGTTCAAATCTTAATCAGATCTCATTGCACTATGATCCACTGCTTTAAGAACATAGGAACCCAGTATTACGTCATAATTTCTGCATCTACCAGACTAATGAAAATGGAAATTTTGTCTAGATATCAGCAATTCCGCCTACTTTTTATGTTGAATTCCTGCCGGTATTTTCATTTACTGTATGTGTAGTGATTTGATGGAAATAGCTGGAATTGGAATAAAGTCAGCTTGGGTAAAGTTGATCATCATTCATTCACTTATAACTTCTTTCTCCAAATAGCCAAAATGAAAGGCTGAACTTTTATTCAACTACAATTTGTTCACATTCACAAATATGAACTTCAACCTTTCATAAGAAAAAGGAGTTTACAATACATGCTGGAATTGAAGAACAAGCAATCATGCATCATCTGTGGAATCATTCCTTTCATCTTTTGAATTTTTGTCAAAGAATGCATCATTTGTAATAGAGAAGCTTACAAGTATTTTAAATATCTAGCATGGAGTGATATCAGTTTTTCTTCTGCTACTTAACATTATCCTCAGGTAATATATGTACATGCAAATGAAAACTGATTAATTTCTAATTATCTTGTTTTAGTCTTAAATTTTTGTGGGATGAATGGATTTAATTAAAATGTCCTCGGTACTTTGTCTTATCTGAAATTTTTACAAATCTTTCACTTAAATTATTTGATGCTTTTAATCTTCAGATATTTATATATTCTTATCAACTGTCTTTTCTAACATTGAGCAGCTCATTCAGTTTAAAAAACTTAAAATCTGTCTGTTTTTGGAAGAAATGTTTAATTTTGATTTAATTTAAAAAGACTTAACTGCCCATCTCACCAATGCACAGATGTCTCCAGCCCAAAGTAAAAATTGCATTTTTATAATAGTAAAGATAATACTCCAGTATTTAAAAATTGTAGATTGCACTTGAAAATATAAATATCCAGCCAAAATATTGGCATAATTATAAATTAACACAAATTTTACTTAGTCCTATAATGGCTTTTTATGAAACCGAATTCATTTATATAATTATTATTGTGTCATTACTGTAAGATATCATTTGTTATTATTTTATATATATATGTATATATGCCATTGTACTGTACAGTAGGAAATTACCTCTCAGAGTTTTAATAAAATAACACTAAATATACATAGATTATGCTAATAATAATTGTAATTATTGCTTTGTAATATAATTTAAAAACATCATCTTTTTGTGGTCCTTTGTGTTGTTAACATCTCTTCAGTCTTGCTCAACCAGAATGTGATTAACTGTGCAAGACTACACTTACTTGAGTCTTGTAAAGAAAAGGACAAATATGAATTATCTGCACATCCATATTCTGTATTTGACCAAGTCTTGAATCAGATTGTGGTTGAACAAGACTATCATCTTTTGTTTCCTTCAAATTTTGTTAAGGTCTTTATATGTTTGTCCTCTTTGATTTGTGTTTTGATGTCCATGAAACTCTTGATTTAATTTCAATTTATTTCCCTAATCTTTATACATCTATGAAAAAATATGAACTTTAATTTTATAAGTTAAAGAAGCTTTATGTAAGATTTAGATAAAGAGCTTGCAGTTTTTGCTATAATAGTTCAAAAATTGATACCCGGTAATGCAAAATTAATATATTGAAAATTTCATCCAAATTAGTGAAGTTATCAATGTTTGTAGTTATAACAAGATGTGTGCATTGATTGTTTATTATTGTAACCACTCTACTGGTTGGTCGAGATTTAGCCTTACTTCCCCATTTTTAAATTAAATCATTAAATGGTTGAACTGTTCTAATCTACTTAAAATCAGAGCCATCCTATGGCCTAGAGAGTTGATTATGGACTTGTTATGTTAATAAATATCTAATTTATAGTTTATATAACATTTAAGGCCTAAAGAAAGACTTGCAATAGACAGATTTAGCTCTTGAATAATGCCTCTTTAATTTGTTTCTGAACTTCAAAAACTGGAAAGTTTTTATTGACATTATAAATATATCTACAGCTTTTTTTAATTCTGACAACAGTAGTCAATCTGAAATTATATTTTTACTGTTATATCCCAACACAAATTTTTATGTAGAAGTGCAATACTGTAAATATTTTTATTTCTGTCGGTATGTTGCTTGAAATATGTTATTCTTATTCTGTTAAAATCCAAACTTGCTTCTCTTGACCAATTTATCAACATGAACGAATAGAAATTAGGTAATATTTCAATACAACATTAATGTGCTCTTTCCCTCATATATTGTGAATTGCATACCAGAGTTTGTCATTGTGTTAGATTGTACATGTACTATTTATAAATTTATATTTGTGGATTTTTGTCATTCATTTTTCATAGACTTTCTTAACTGAATATATATGATCTTTAAACCTAAAGAGATCAACTGTGAAACAAAATTACTAAGAAAAATATCTGAATCCTGTTATAGGATAAATAGAAGACAAGACATTGTGCCAAGTAGATTGTGTGTGCTGGATCATATAAACATATATTGCATTTATATGTTAGATAAACTTTGTGCTTATTTTTTGATTGTACGATTTTGATTTTTTTTTTTCTTATTGTTCAGGCAGCTATCATTATCATTTCATATATTGGTGAAGTAAGGGTTAAAATTGGTATTATGCATGATAAAAACAAGTTGTGTATCAATTTGATTTTAACTTATGATTTATCTACAGTAGATTTAGGTCTAATAAATGTGCAACTTAATTATATTTCACATAATTATTGCATCATGCTAGGAAGTTGGAACACTTTAAATCTTCAAGTTCGTTTATTTTTTGTCACACACAATCTCGACAATGCTCTTGATGAGATAGTTCAAACATATTTTATTTGCAAATGAATAGTGTAAGCAAAAAGGATAAGAACAAATTATACAAATGCTGTTGTTATTCTAATTGCAAGATAGGTGACAACTAGATAACTACATCTTTAGTAGTAAATACATATACCCTCTATACATTTTCTTAATTTTGGTGTTGATTTTCTTTATTCTGAAGTAAACTTAAATTTAGATCAAGTTGTTAATGTAAAAAAAAAAAACATGTGCACAGTTTGCTTTTTGTGGATGTTTCACTTAAAGTTGTCATAATAAATAACAAAAGACTAAGAAATCACAGACAAAAATAAAGTTGAGTCTTTTGGTTAGATACCGTTCTATACTAATTATTTACTTTAGCAAAGGTATATGATGTACAAATTTATAAATGAATTGAATAAGGTAGTGATTAATAATAACTTATATTGCATGCACGATCTCTCTTTGATATCATTATATAGCTTGGTTTATAAAGACTGTTAGTTTACAATTTATGCATAATACAGGTATTGAAGTGTATAATCGGTGATGAGTATTGTACATTAACTGTATGTATTGCATTATCTACCATACTAGTCTGTATTTCATATGGGATGATTCTTAAGAATAATGAGATAAATAATTAGTATTTCAATGAAATAGTATGCACGATAATTTTGTTTCTTTTTTCATGAATATTATTTTCCAGTGCTATTTTTATTTTAATATATATTTTTTTGTGTCATGCAATTGTCTATAATGAAGTTCACAAACTAGTGCCTACATAATTTAAAGTATTGACAGCTCCAGCTAGATTATAAACATTGTTTATTTTTTTTAGGAAATTAAAGTTAAATATTTGAATATGATATTGATTTTCTGTTTGCTCATTTTGTTTTATCGTGCATTTAAACTCATTTTTCACAGATATATTGTGTACTGATAAACAATAAATACTGCATGAACTATGTGAATAAACAAATATCATTGATGAAAACAAATACCTGTCATTCTTATATCATTAGTGAAATGAATAGGCCTAGATTCAAGTTCTGATGGTTTACAAAGCTAATTTTGAAAATCTTGGTCAAAAGAGTATTAATGTCTCAAATCGTCATTTATAATCACTTGCAGACTATAATATTGTGAAATTGAATTTCTAATAGTAAAAGGAATATCACTCCAAAAATGGTTCAATTCTCTTCAGTATTTACAAAGATATGAATGAATTGAAAATCTTCATCAATCGACATACCCTGCAGAGATATCGACAGGATATTGTCAAAACAAGCCAGTGATTGCTGAAATCTTTTGATGGACCTCTATATAATCCAATTGAATCCATGCCCCAAGATTATCTACCAATGATAATTTGATTAATTCTTAATTATAGTTAATCAATTTGAGTACATTTTAACGTGGATAGGTTGTGTAAAATCGCCCCAAAATAATAGGGAAGCACAATATCCAATCACTTCTGTGATACAACAATGATCAATTTTAGACACAATACCTAATGAATACTTTTTGCAAGCGAGACTGTTTTGTTTTGTCTTAATTAACAATGGCATTTCTGCATAATATTCTTCGAATCCTAATTACACCTATTTCCACACACAAGTCAAATGGTTAGCATGTGCCCGCTGTATCATAAGGCCTGTCATTGAGTCAACTGCCGTTGTTTCGATTCCCTGATTATACATGACAAGTAGGGTCGCCTGTCCAACCTCGTGGGATTTCTCTGGGTCCTCTGGTTTCCTCCAACGGCTAAAGACCCCTACGCGCAAGCGAATTATTGAAATAAAATTGAACCATATGCTAGTCCCGCAATGACCTAGTTTGTGTCGAGTGGACTTTAAACCCCATTTCTCTCTCTCTCTCACAAGTCAATTGCATCTTTTGCCCCAGGAAATGGTTCAAGTTGACTATAAAGTTGGTTGTTCTCAGATAGTGTTTACAAATCTTAGTGAAGAAAATTGTTTCTCTGTAAGAAAAATAAATACCATAACAATGGAAAACTACTCCGCAATCCTGTGTTGTGTTAGATTGCTTCATTATATTTTTCCACCCCCCAAAAAATGCCCTGGTAGAAATTAAATGGAGTAAGTCAAGACAATCTGTGGGGAAACCAATAGAAAACTGCAATAATACTTAAAGGAGCTAAATCGCTAATATTTGGGACCTAAAAATTGACACAAATGGGTTGCAACGCATATAATAATGTAATACGAATGTATATAAACTGATTTACATTCAATTATTTCTGTTTTTACTTTAATTTCAAGCCAGCTATATTTGGTGAAATACACCAAAAGTCTTAATCAAATGACAGTCTCTAGCCTCTGGTTATTCCAGCCTGGGGGTTGGATGGCTGAATGGTTAGCGTGCGCGCGCTGTATCATAAAGTCTGTCATTGAGTCGACTGGCATGGTTTCGAATCCCCGGTTGTACGTGACAAGGAGTAGGGTCGCCTGTCCAACCTCGTGGGTTTCTCCGGGTCCTCCGGTTTCCTCCCATTGCTAAAGACCCCTACGCACAAGCGAATTATGTAAATAAAATTAAACCATATGTTAGTCCCGAAATGACCTAGTTTGTGTCGAGTGGATGTTAAACCCCATTTCTCTCTCTCTCTCTTATTCCAGCCTACACTGAGAGTATTTATTGCGCATGCTCTCCAGATAAGAATATGAAGTCATCGTTTGACATTACTTGTGGAATATACCTAGCCTCGTTTTTCGAGGCCCTTGTTACAAATGGCGCTGAAACGCAATATGGTACACGATGCGTTTACCAATGGTAAAATGTTTATTTTGTCTTAAATATGGGATAAGAGAAGCCCATCATTCCCAGTAATATCATAACATCGATGTTGATTTAAGTTGACAATAATTCGTGTTTCCAACGTCGAAGACTTTGGATGATACTGAGTTAGAGACTTAGCTACTTTAAATGCCAATGGCACAACCCGACAATATTAAACTACAGAGCAACATTTCACTTTTGGAAATTCTTTTGAAATGCGGAACAATAAAATGTAGTTATCTCCCTTAATTGTGCTATCAAATTTCACGCATGGCGGGTCATGAATGAGTGTTGTTATCAATTTCTATAGAAGCATATCATATGACAGATTGTCAAAGAGGGACGTTTAAACTTATCCAGCAATCCGCCGTAAGTGATCTTAATAACTTTAATCGAGTATTACCAATAATAAATGCTTATTGCTTTATTGTAGCTTTTAACAACTTTTGTAAGTTTTCAATTTCTCTTGTTTGAGTGGCATTCACTTTCTCACTGTCACGTCACGATTTTCAATTATTAATGTTCTTGTTTGGGTTAGAACCATTTATCTTTTTGTCAGTTCTGCTTTTTTTTTCTTTGTAAGAAGAATGAATATATCATAATTTATAGAAGTATAGTTGATGTATTATCTGCAACAAGTTATCACATATAATCCACTGAGGAAATTGTTTTGCTGTGGTTTAGAGATCGTCCCTATAAGTATATATATACTGTTAATTTAAGTAGGTCTATAGCCTATCTCAGATCATGTATTATTCTGTTATAAAAAGTTATTAACTAATGGGCAGATACAGAATTGTTCAAGAAAGTGTTACAAATGAAAGTTGTGTAACCAAAATTCAACTAAAAAGTGCAATTTGTAACAGGTTACATTAAAACAGTTTAATTGGGATATTGTTATTTCCACGCCTCATCCCAAGCAGCATTCCTATTGTAGTGATGAGATTCGAAAACAATTTTTTTTTTTGTAAGACCGTGTGTCAAATTTTTGTTAGCAGTTAAATTCTTTTGGAGATAAAACCAATGAGATGGATTAGGATTTTCCCCGGAAAATAATTGCTTCTTGACTGAAAGAGTTCAGAAATGCTAGGCCTAAATTATTTCACGGAATGCATATATATAGAGGATATTTGTCGTTTTAGAGTGAATAACATATTTTATTTCATCGAGAAGCAAGAAAACTTATATTTTCACGAATGCATAGCATTCGTGAAAATATAAACGTTTCCTTGCTTAGAGATGAAATAAAATATGTTATTCACAACAAAATGACAAATGTTCTATTTATTTTAACGATTTTACAATCATTTTAGGTAAAAACAACTAGCCAGTGGAATAACACTTTTATTTCACTGATAAAACGCGGTATTCCACTACTGATCACAAAATAAATGTATTTATTTTAAAAATAGTTATTTGGTAGATGTATATTTACATGCAGATCTTGTAAATCACTAAAGTAATATAGTCTAGTGATATGCCTAGAATTGATAAAAAGTATGCAAATTTAAGGCCAATATGTATCATACATGTATTAAAATTATATGTTTGTAAATGAATAAATAAGTATGTAATGGGTTATTTTCATCTCATCAGTTTGTACATTAAGAATAAATAACATCCAACATTTTATTTTAAATCAAGTTATAACAACACATGCCACAAAGTACTTTTCGAAGAAAGTTCCTGTAAATCATTCTTGAAAGTAGCGGTACTATTTCTTAACACATGTAAGCTATGACCATTCAGTGTGACACCACTGGTTGGGAAATTTCCTGAAGAACTGAATTTGTATTTAAGTGCATGATTGGTTCAAAAAGTGAGGTTAAAGCGTCATTAACACTTCATTGCTTCAAGCTTGGAAATTATAATAATATATTATAAGATCCATATGGTTTAAGTATTAATACGTCATATTAGTGCTAAAGGAATCACTAGTAAACTACAATATTATGAAAGATGAATCTTTAATAAGAATATCTTTCCCAAATTGTTGAATTCTGTTCAGTATTTACAAAGATATGTTGACTTTAAATTTCATTGATCTATGTTGCTAGCTATGTAAGAAGCCCGCCGCCATTTTTTGTCCGTGAACATTTATTGAAGGGCCTATTTTGAATCCGACTGAATCAAAGCCGGGACAGTATTTTGATTTTTTGCATTGATTAAGCTCACAGAAATATAGACAAGAATATGGACAGAAGGACTAAAATGACGTCGCAGCAGTTTTATTGGTGGAAAGAAAGTTACGACTACTTACGGAGAAGGGACGTAAATCGCCAACGTTGAAATGCACCTGTGGCACATAACGTTGTTATATTCTTATGAAAGTATAGGTTGACATAATTACTTGCATTATGAAGCTTTTAAGGTGAGCTTTAAAGGACATATTACATGTATATATACTGTTAAGTGCTACTTGGGCCTAGAGTGGCCTAGTATATATTGATTGGTAAGTGCCTTCACTTAAGCCTTCATAGTTCCTAAAGTAGTTGTTCTTCAAAGAATGTATAGACTGAATCTGACAATGAAATGAGTAGATAAGATCAGATATAAATTTTTTTATTTTAAGTTTGAACATAGGTTCTTACTACCAATGATTATATAATTTAGACCTTACATGTCGAATCAATATATCGTTAATTTTTTAGTGTAAGTCGGTATTTGATGATAAAAGATTGTGTTGCATAAATAGATTTTGGAATACATCATGTACTAAAGTATTAAAGGTTTTAATTTAATACGATTTCTTTCATTTCCTTTTATTACGGTATGAGTATTTTATCAATCATATCTTCTAGCTTATCTTATAAGGTTTGTATTTGCCTTAGGTTTGTTGTTTCTTACTGGTAGGTCTGTAATATAAACAGGATGTCTACTCTACAGGCCTATGATACAGACAATACATGTAACAATATGCACTAGATATACAGATAATGAAGGAAATTGTAATGCTGTATATATACACACTACCAAGTTTTTCGAACTGGTTTAATAAAAAGAAACAAAGAATAATACTTTCAGATGTTTCCATTATTACATAGTGAAATCGCAGTTTTGATTAGTAATATAAATAGCTCAAATTGCCCTTCAACAGATTCCCTGTTGAATTTTAACAGTTCATTAATTCGATCATGTGAGAATGATCTATCTTATCCAAATTAGTGCTTGGTTGCATTTCATTTTTATTATAGATCTATAATGGTGTTATATTTTCAATTGGGAAAACTATGTCATTTTGAGACTAACATATGGTACAATTTTATTCAAAAATTCACTTGTGCATACAGGGGACTTTAGAAGTTGGAGGAAACGGGAGGAAACGGGAGGACACAAGAGAAAACCCCACAAGGTTGGGCAGGCAAAGCCTCTCGTCACATACAAGCTTTGTATCCGAACCACTTGAATCAATGACAGAACTTATGGTCTAACATTAGACAACTTTACTACCCGTCCTATTATGTAAGCATGAAATTATTGTCAGTTTGGCTGTGATTTTGATACAATGAGATGAGAGGACTTAGACGGATCTTTAGAGTGGTCTCTAGAAATCAGAATATTGACAATATTTACGGTTGTATTGGGTACTGTAGCACTGTTTCCATTGAATGGAAATTCTCAATAATTGTCCATGTATTTCTTCTCTACCTTAAATTAAACATTGATTGAAAGTTTTCTCAACTTTTCAAAGATACATGATGTACATCTGTGATCTTTTTATTGACATTTTGCACTTTTGTGCCATTCTTCACACTAGATACAGCTTATTTGACATGAATTTAACCAGCAACCGACATGGTTCTTTATTTAATTATGGTCTGTTTTCCATTTAGTTGTCAGTTATCACTTGACTGTGGTCACATTGTGTTTAATTTATTTTTGGGAATCATTTAAGACCTTATTTTGATGCCAGTACATTTCTATTCACTCATGTCTGCAATGTACTTTTTACTTTGAGGTTTGACTTAAAAGATTATAACATTTCATTGATATGATTAGGTTTGGTTGGAAACTAAATTCCTATTATGACCTTTGTCTCCTGCTCTTACATCATTTAAAGCAGATTGAAAACACTTTTAACATAGTTCAAATGCTTTAGACAGATCATGAAGTAATCAGTAGAAATTAGTTTATTAACAGATTACAAACAATCTGCTTTACATGATAAATTGCATGTGTTGATGTGTAAGTTATCAAAATGAAACCAGGACAAATATTATAGCAACCCAAGTAGACATCAAATAACTAGTTAAGATAGTCTGACAGTATAATCTATTTGCAATTAGGATAGCATCAACTCTGTTAACTCATATATAGTAAACAGCTATAAGTACACTTGATATGCCAATAGCTGTTTATGTTTAAGTGTCTAGACTTTAACAATTTTATTTATATGAGATAATCCCTTTATTCACAGATATTTTAAGTGTTTAACATCATATGGATTAATTTTTGCTCATATCATTTCACTACATTGTCTAAGTGTGGACTATGTGTATGTCTTTGTTAAATTTCACTTCTTTTAGTTCTTAATTAGACATAATCGAGCAACAGGCAGCCATACTTCAAATAGGTTCACCACTTATTACATCATATCCTTCGTACCTTTTGAACTAATGACATGATATGCTAATTCTATAAAAGCTTATTATTAAAAGTTCATTAGCCATTCGGAGCAGAACAGAAGGACGTTAAACTCCATTTCATTTCATTTATTATTAAAAGCTTCGAGTGTATGGTAAACAGAAGAAAATTGATTGGAGGAAAGTTAAGGTATGAATCATGAGTTACTAGGAACTTCCTCAGGGTGGGGTTATATTACAATAGAGCAAAGACCGAACACAGGAATAAACACGAAAGTGCACACAAAGTACCATCAACAGATATGACACATGCAAGTCCCCATGTACAGTGGTATATGTGCCATGTTTCCAAACTTTCTAGTAACACCTACTGTTGAACTTGCCCTCTACCAGATATCCTGTCCAGGGTAAAGCTGAATATATTTGGTTGTCGTTTGCGGGGAAAAAACTTAGTATTCCACAGAACATAGTACATGTGGAATTTTCATAATGCTTGTACATAACATATCTGACATCTCAGACTGTCCTCAACAAGCCCACACACAATTGTCATGGTATTAAACTTGTGGTAGAGTGCAGTATTTTTATAATAGCAAGGTGTGTCAAATATGGCACCAGGTTGGACAAGATCTTATTATTCTGTTTGTTGAATCAGGGTTGTTGCTAGCCTATAGTGTCAATGAGTTCTAGTAACTAAACATTTACCAAGACAATAGAGCATTTATTTGACAAGTTATGTTTTCAGATTAACTGTTATATTTATTTAACAACTTCTACTATTTATTC